CCCATCATTGAGCCCAATGTGGGGCTTGAGCTCATGACCCAAGATCGAGAACTGAGCTGAGATCAAGAGTTGGACATGTAACTGAGTGAGGCACCTAGGCACTCGCTCACCATAAGGTTTTAAAATTCAAATTCCTTCTCTATTAGAATGAGATACAGTAAACAGTGGAAGAATAATCTTGTTCCCATTACTTCCTTCTACTTTTCAGAGATACTCAGTGCTAACAGTCTGTAATCTGTTTTCCTTGATATTATTTACTTACCTACACAAACTCTAAACAAACTTAGGAGGGGCACCTAGGTGGCTCAGTCATTTAAGCGTCCAACTTCACTCAGGTCATTGTCTCACATGTGGTGAGTCTGAGCCACGCAAAGGACTCTGTGCTGACAGCTCAGAGCCTAGACTCTGCTTCAGATTTTTTTGGAGTTATTTTGATAAATATTTTGATAGTCTCTCTACAAATTTTTTCAGAAGTAAATTGATACTTTCTTTTCCTCTTGATAACTTTCTCAGTGAGGATAAGTAGTTCATTATCCTATTGATCAAAGAACAGAACTCAAAGCATGTATTTTCTCTTCAACAAATGCCATCGCATAATTTAAATATCTGAAGAACTCACTAAGGCCTTTAAATAGAATAATTTTTTTAATGTTCAAATTTATTTATTTTGAGAGAAAATGAGTGAGCACAAGCAGAGTACGGACAGAGAGAGAATTCCAAGGAAGCTCTGCATTGACAGTGCAGAGCCCAGTGCGGGACTGGGACTGGACCTCAGTAGGTCATGACCTCCGCCTGAGCCACCCACGTGCTACTTTAAATAGAATAATATGAAGAGCAAGTCTCTTTAATTGGTTTCTCCCATCTTCACACTTTCCTCATCTTGAGGATTAGTTGCAGACAACCCAGCCTACCTGGGTTTTCTGCTTTCAGGTTTCATCTAGCTTCCATCAAAATGTCAGTTGGGCTCTGTTCTCTTCTGGAAGCTTGAATGGAGAAGTACCTGCTTCCAAGCTCACTCAGGTCATTAGCAGAATTCATTTGTTTGCAGCTATAGGCCTGAGAGTTTCAATATTTTGCTGTTTGTTAGCCAGAGTCCAACCTCAGCTCCAAGGGGCTCTCTATGGTTCCCTACCACATGTCTGTCTTCATAGGAGTTCACAAAAGGCAGCTTACTTCTTGAAGGCCAACAGAAGAGTAAGACTGTGCTAGCAAGATGGAATCTAATATAACTTAATGTAACCATAGGAATGGCATTCCATCAACTTTGCCATGTAACATAACATCATTTATCATTTAATAGGCCATTTATTTTCTCTATAGTAGTGGAAAAGGATGGGGTTGATGTCTTCCTCTGTAGCATTCATGGCATCAACAGCAATTAGCAGATTCCCCGTTAGTATTAAAAAAAAAAAAAAGGCGGGGGGCAGGGCACCTGGGTGACTCGGTTGAGCGTCTCACTTCAGCTGAGGTCATGAGCTAGTGGTTAATGAGCTCGAGCCCCACCCCACGCAGGGCTGACTGTTTGGATCCTCTGTCTTCCTCTCTCTGTCTCTCCCCCTCTTGCATATGCTATCTCTCTCCAAACTAAATAGACATTTTTTTAAAGCAAAATTCCAACGGACTCATATTTTACAATATGAAGTACTAAATTGCTCATTAGACATCCCATTTTTCTATACAGTATTCTCCTAAGTTGGTAAACAAAGACAAATACACAAAAGTAAAGTTCAAGGGAACAGGAAAAGACCTGAGAAGAATGAACTCTTCAAATATTTTCTAAAGTACAATGTTTATTATATGTCTAAGTTGTTTAGTCATTTCTAATGTTCAACCCTATACCAGAAAAGCTTTCCAAATCACTTTAATTCCATATGATATAGGCCTTGACAGTCAGCACTCCAAATCTAGAGCCAGCATACTCCTTGCCTCCTTGCTGTATCTACCTGCCAGTAAGCCACTGTCCAATAAGCTACAGACAGCAAATCAAGAGCACACAAAGCATGCTATAGGCTTGGTTATGGAGTTTAGGATTACATAGAACCTCTTAAATCCCATTTCAGTTCCAAGAACAATATTAATTTCTGGGACATTCTAAACACGTAAGTCTTCTAAACAGGGCTAACTGGTATCCAATGCCATGAACAGAGAATAATCCAAGTCCAGGGTAGAGATAACTCCAATTCACCAAAAGGAAGCATCATCTAGAGGCACATCAGATACTTAAAGACACTATGTCAGGCTAGACTGACACCAGTGAGCTTCTGCAGAGATAGGACCCATTTTTTAAGTATGTATAAAGCCAAACTGATACAATTGTCATCTATAGTTTTATAAAGCCGATGCAAAAGGAAACATCAAAGTACTTCTACAAAAACAAACTTTTACAAAAGTAGTTCTACTACAGTGCCAAGGAATGAAAAGTCTTCCCTAGAAATGAGTGCTATTGCTAAAGTGGCATTCAGTGTCTATATACCAAAAAGTACTTTTATCTTCTATCAGTCTAAAAGTTAACCACTTACACAATGCAATCCTATTTTTTTCTGGATTTTTATCCTCACAAAGTTGATCCATAAATAGGAAGTTTATCTGTTCATTTTGAGGGGTGGCTATCTATTCTAAGCAGTCATCTAAGGAAATCTAACTGGTGGACTGTCTCATATCCTTATGTGAAACATTCAGCAAATAATCTCATCTCTGTTCAAACTTAGCTCTTCTTTTCCATTGACATTAAAGAAAGTAATTACGATTTTTAAAAGATTTTTAAAATGTTTACTTTGGGTATACTGTTCCTAAGAAATTATTTCTTTCTTTCTTTTTTTCCCCCCTATGGTATAATACACAGAGTTTACTTAGATTTCACTAGTTTTACACATACTCATTCCATGTACTTTTGTGATCTAAAGTCATCACTTGGAGGTAGCAATGGAAAATAGCAGTGTCAGACGACCTGGGTTCCTTCACTAGCTATGTGACCTTGAGTAAGCCACCTTAATCTATAAAAGCGGAATAGTATCTGGCCTACTATACACACAGAGCAAATTATTCAATTTATATAAAAATTGATCACCTGTTTTGACATATTTTAAGAAATACAGGAAAAGATTCTTCTTAAAAATTATTTTCATAGGAAGGCTGCTGATGAAAAAAGCACAGGTTTTACAGTCAGGAGTCCTGTGTTTCTTGGATTCTAGCTCTGTTAGCTATTAGCGGTATGATCCTATGCAAATTAATTATTCTCCATGCTTTCAATTTCCTTGTATGCTAGACACAATCCCAACTCAGAGGATTGTTGTAGGGATTAAATGAGGTAATTCAATAATCATCATTCAACATATATTTATCTACCAATCATTCTGCTTGGTGCAATACTGGTTAAAAGTCCCATGTCAAACACACACACACACATACACACACACACACACACACAGCGCTAGACTGCTAGAATTCATAATTCAAAAAGAAGTCAATGATACATTAAAGCAACATTATGGGGAAAAAAAGCCAACCTAATTTTTTTTTCCTATGTACCTTCTTGAAACCAGTGATAGGAATCTGATAAGTTCTTGTGAGCTGTTACAAATTTGCAAGACTGAATCCAAGCACAAAAAGTCAAGTCTGGATTCAGAAAATAAATCTGAACTAACAGAAAACACAGTTCAAATTTAGCTGTTTATCAGTGGAATATGCCTGACAGGATAAACACAAGAAAGTCACAAACAAGACAAAGGTTATAAATGATGGCATTTACCACACAACACATAACTAATAGAGGGCCTGGCAAAGGGTAACTGCTTATAAATATTGGTTGAAAGAACTGAATCCCAATTCTGCCACTTTCACACTAAATGACTCTGAGTAAGTTATCAACCTGACTGAACCTTAGCTCTCTGTGAAATATAAATGTGTCTTCTTTACCTATCTCACAGGACAGTTGTGGTCAAATGAAATCACATGAAAATGTATTAGCACTTATAAAACAATAATTATGACATATAATGACTACTGCTACCATTAGCTTACAAGCCAACCTGTAGAAGTAAGATGCTAATATGTCAGCACAAGAGAGAGAATCAAGATCTACTGGGGAAAAAAACAACCCGTATTTTCTAAAAATGTCATCTTTATGATGAAAGGAGCTGGTCACCGCTAAATGGGTGCTGTGCCTTTTCTAACCCACAGGTTACAGCAGCAGGGGCTGCTGAGTGGCATCTTAGAAGACTGAATCCCTCAGTCGGCGCAGGCAGCAGTGAGATGCCGATCTGAGGGTCGCGACTTTCAGAACCCCCATCCAGGCCCTAACAAGGCACCACCGGTAAGATGCCTCTGTAGTTAGCGGAGCAAGAAAACAACAGCGCCGAGACAATTCCACCCTCCACAGGGGAAAAGGGACCGCGTGCCAGCCTAACTCACCCGGGTCGGCCACAGCGCGCGCTAAAGCCCCGCCTTGTCCAGCGCCCTAGACCCCTGCGTCTCCGGCCAACGCCTGCGCCCCCAGTCCCTGCCTCCTGGCACGTACGCAGTGTGCAGAGAGGCTGGGGGAGTGCGGCCTGGACCGGCTACTTACTCAATAGCCGTTTTTAGGGCGCCTGCTGTCCAGCTGGCCGAGTCTCCTGGCACTATCGTCCCCGGGGCTCCCAGGACTTGCCTTCGGTCGGAGCCCCAGCTGCTGCGACTGCGACCTCTCTAGGAATGTAGTAGCAATGCGGCACACGCAGCGAAGCCTACAGAGAGGGACGAGTCCGGGGCGGGGTAGCCGTTTGGACACGCCCTTAACCCCTCCCCCGCTGTCCCCCACCAAGTCCTGGGAGGCAACGATGCGCCGATGGAAGGAAGAGAGATAGGACACAGGGCCCCGCCCCTAACCTCTTCCCGCCTTGCCCTGTCCCGACTACCCCGCGACTCACCATCCCTGACCTCGGGACGCTCCACCCACTTCTAGTTGCCGGGCGCGCACGCGCACTTGCTGGCTTGTTTGACAGCTTTGGCCAAGAGAGATGCGAGGGAGCAGGAGGTATCGCGAGAGTTAGCCTCACCTCCTTGTGGGCGGTGTAACTATGGCGAGCTCCGGAATCGAGACGGAGCAGGAGCCGCTCTTAGGCGACCGCACACCCGGAAGCAGGTGAGCGGGTGTTAGGGGAAGGCCCCCTCACCTTCTTGAGCTTTGGGACTGGCCCCTTTGCTGGCGTCAGCCTCACGGCACCGAAAGATGGGTCTCAGGGAGGCGGGAGGCTGCGGCCGGTCGGGCGAGACCGGGTGATGTACTCCTGCTCCTGAGAAAAGAAGTCCGCGGTGAGCCACCGGGCTCTGGTGACGGTGTTAAGAGAATCTCAAACTGCCTCTTGGACCTTCATTCCAATAGTGTTGCAACCATTAAGCCACTGCTTTATGCGTTCCTCTGCAGATCTCATCACTTTACACGTTTCGCAAAAGTTCCGAAATGATGATTTTAATCGATACTTGAAAATACCTCTCAATATTGACCTAGTTGGGTGATTACTTCTTGATACTTTGTTAGCAAGTAAATCTGTACAAAATGGGCACAGCTTTCTCCTAATATATAAAGACTAACTGCTTAGCGTTTAAAGGATGAACTTTAGGTCACCCCTTATCATTTCTGGCTATTTTAATTCTAGTTTATGGACAGCAATTTAGAATTGTTAGTTTGTCTCCTAATACGCAATTAAGAATCTTTTTGTTTTTAGGAAAATGGAATTAAGTATCATTATGTTTGAAACATAATTTATCAAGTAAATTAATACCAGTTAAGCTGTCAACGACCATGTTAATTTTTGCTCATTGGTCTCTCAAGCAGCGAACTTTTATTTTAACCACTGTGTTTGAAACTCTGGACGGTATATTTTTCTGGTCCCCAATTTATTAAACGGAATACATGCACTGCAATTTATCTATGTTTTAAATTGAGATCAAAACAATTATTATCAATGCTGAAATATGTCATAATAGAGAGATGTCCTCAGGGCTTCTTGAGACATTTTGGACCATTTGCTTCTATACTAGTTTGTTTATTATACACTGCTTTCTTACTGATTTATTCTGCACTTGCTACACTATTAATGTTTTATGTTTGCTTTTTAGTTTTTCTGCCTACTCTGTTTCTGGCTGATTTTTCCTCATCATGTTTTTATTACCTTTTGACAGCCTCTGTTTTTGTTGCTGTCAGGAACCTCTCTTCTCCCAACTTTATTTTGAGACTACTAGTTTGCTGCGGTTTTGAAAACCATATCTAAGTTTAATAAAACTGTGTGTAGTTAGAATATGGAGGCTATGACTAGGGCTAAGGATCTGTCTTATTAGTCAAGTGCATGTGCTTCAGTGCATAGACTGCCACATTTGGATTGCTCAAACTTCTTTTTGCTTCTTTCTGGTTCTGGGCTATTTTCCAGATAGATTCAGGATCTTTGAGTTAATGGTTAGATGTGATCTTGATATACATTCTGTCACTGTGTCCAAATTACTTTAAAAAATGATTTTTTTCCCTTACTCTTAGCTTCAATTATGCCTAGTGATTGTTGGGGCTCATTAGGGTGCATCTAAATTCAGATATTCTGCCCATAAACAATACTTGATTGAGGTTCTAGATTTAGCATTTTAAAAATAAGAAGGGTGTATTTTGAGAATAATTCAATAAGTATACTGTCTTTGAAAACACAGTTGGATTCCCTAGTAAAGTGAACATATATATAACTAATTGGCAAGCTGTGTTCACTTTGAGTAAATTGTAGAAACTTCAGCCTCATTCACTACCAACTTTTCCTCACTAGGAAGGTTTGATTTTAATTTATTGGTCTGATGAGTCCTCAGTGGTCTCCACTGATTCTATGTACAATGTTTGAGACAAAAGAGGTTGGCAAATTTTTTCTGTAAAGGTCCAGATGGTAAATATTTTAGGCTTTGCGGGATAAGAGACGAAATCAAAGATATTATATAGGTACTTAGATAACAAAAAAGAAAAGTTCTCACCCAAAAAAATTTGGTAATTAAATTTAAATAAATGAATAAAAAATTTTTTGTAATAACAAATCTATGAGGGGAATAGAATTTTGGAGGTGGCTTTTTCATTAACTAGAGTTAAAAGTTAATGTTTCCTATTAAGTTGATCACAAATATTCATCTGTAACAACTATTCTTAGTTCACTGGTGATCTATTTAAAAAAAAATTTTTTTTAATGTTTTATTTATTTCTGAGAGAGAGAGAGAGACAGCATGAGCAGGGGAGGGTCAGAGAGAGAGGAAGCCTGAAAAGGCTCCAGGCTCTGAGCTGGCTGTCAGCACATAGCCCGACATGGGGCTCAAGCCCACGAACCATGAGATCATGACATGAGCCAAAGTCGGATGCTTAACCGACTAGCCACCCAGGCTCCCCAATTCACTGGTGATCTAGAAATAGGTGATAGGCTGGATTTGGATTGAGGAATATAGTTTGCTTATCCCTTTCTTAGACTATCCTATAATGTTACAAGTGCCTAAATGTTTTCTTTGCAACTTTAGCCTAATTTCTGTAATACAAATATTACTATGACTTCTGGTCTTGTAGAGCATATCCTTAGAACATTCTCAACTTATTTCTTTCCTCTAAATTCTATGCTGTAATACCATTACACTATTCTGTCATTGAGCACACACTTCTTTCTCTTATATTCTTTGAATATAGGTTCTTTTTTGCTCTTCAGTAGTTCACAGATGCTCTCTCTGGTAAATGTGTAATTTTATTTTTCCCTCAGTAAATCTAGAGTCATTTTTTGAAAATAAAGTACTGCTGTTTACTCAAACCTCTTTGTGTTAAATAATGATCTATTGAACCTAAATTTGGCACTTTTTACTTATCCTTAACTTTTATCTAACTTATTTTGGTGATTAATTCACTCCAATATATCATGTATTCTTCCTAGTTTTTGATAAACATATTATCATTTGAGGTATTATATTTATAATGAAAATGTTGAGCAGGACAAAACTTTGACAGCAGTAATAGTAGAAAGGAATAAAAAAGTTAAACACATTGCTTTGGAAGTGCAGCATTCCTTCTTGTGCCTTTTAAAACAAGACAGAAACCTTTAGAAACTCAATCTTAGCCATGTGACATGGCTGGTTGAATCATCAAAGTTAAGAAAATACGATAAAAATGGTAACTTCATTGAAGAACAGCTATACTCTGCAGCATTCCTACTCTCTCTGAGTAGAAAGATACACTTCTTCTCCAAAATTATACTTTTTGAATTAAAAAGAAGGAAAAAGAAAAGTTCTTTATTTTGAAAATTCTCAAATCCATAGAAAAGTTGAAAAAACAGTACATTGAACACCTATATACCCTGTTACTAACCATTAGCCTTGTTCACACTGCTCAAATTTCTATACACACACACCCCTCTTTTGCCAAACTACCCAAAAGTAGGTTGCAGAAATCATGACATTTTTATCTCAAGTATTTCAGTCTGCAGCATACATCTTCTCAAAACAAAAATATTTTTTTACGCAACTACATCACTGTTACCATAGCTAAAAATACAATACTCGTGCAAAATATCATGCAATATACAGTCTATACTTAAGAATATTCATTTGTTCCAAAACTGTACTCTATAGCGTTTTTTTTTTAAATAGGGTCCAACTAATGGTCATGCATTGTTCTATCTTTTTTATACTCTCTCAACCTATAACTGTTCCTTAATCTTTTCTCTCTGTTCTTCCCAACATTGAATCAATCCTTTGACAAGTCTAGGCCAGTTTTCTGTACAACATCTTACATTCTGGATTTTTGGCCTGTTTCTTCTTCTTTTTAATTTTTAAGTAGGCTTTATGCCCAACTTAGGGCTCAAACCACTGACCCTGAGATTAAGAGTCCCATGCTCCACCAACTAAGCCAGCTAGGTGCCCCTGGCTTGTTTCTTTTTTAATAGGTCCTGGTCAAACATTCCTGGCAAGAACATCTGCTGGGTTATGTTGAGAATATCTCAATATTTCAATGTTAGGAGATATCAAATGCTAGGCTGTCCCACTATTGGGGATACCAAGCTTGACCACTTGGTTAAGAGGGGGACTGCTGAGGCACCTGGGTGGCTCAGTCAGTTAAATGTCCCATTTTGGCTCAAGTCATGATCTTGTGGTTCATGAGTTCGAGCCCTGCATTGGGCTCTGTGCTGACACCTTGGAGCCTGCTTCAGATGCTGTGCCTCCCTCTCTCTGCCTCTCCCCTACTTGCACTCTGTGTGTATGTGTGTGTGTGTGTGTGTGTGTGTGTGTGTGTGTGTGTTTCTCTCTAAAAAATAGATAAACTTATAAAAAGAGGGTGACTGCTATAAAGCTTAATTTTCCATTTTGTGATTAGAAAGTAGACAGTAAGGTGATACTTTGAGGCCCTGTGACTATCCTGTCCTTACTAATCTTTCAACCAATTTTTTTAGGATCCATGAATGATCCTTGCTTTCATCCATTATTATATGGAAACTAAATAGTGGTTTTCTAATTCTGTCATCCCTTCAATATTTAATAGCTGTCATTAAAAAAAGAAAGTTTTGACCGAGCTCCAAATCAAGTTGAAGTCATTCAAACAATTTTATTACATTTTTTTTCAGAATCGAATTATTTACTTCTCTGGTTTCCTAACTTAGATAAGATCTGAGCAAAGTAGTTATTTGAAATTTTCGGGTTTATTTTAATGATAGTTCTTGTTAGTGATGGTCAGTTTAATTTTGATCTTCAGGAAATAATAATGGGTTCATTAAAAGTATAATTTGTAATCCCCAAGGCTGGAAAGTAATACCAGAACACAGTGCTCTGGGATTGAATGGTGCATACCTTTTGCTGCTGTGTAGTTATCTGTATTATGAATTCCAAATTCCAGCATATTGATTTCCAAATACAGATGATCCCCAACTTATAATGGTTTGACTTAAGATTTTTCAGCTATATAGTGGTGCGAAAATGATCACTTTCAGTAGAAACTGTGGTTCACATTTTGAATCTTGATCTTTTCCTGGGCTAATGATATATGGTAGGATATTCTCTTGCAGTACTGAACAGTGGCAGCAAGCCTCAGCTCCCAGTCAGTCATGTGATCATCAAAGTAACCAACCTATATGCTTCCAACCATTGTACCCATACAACCATTGTGTTTCTCATTTTTAATACAGCATTTCATACATTACATGAGATATTCAACACTTTATTATGAAATAGGCTTTCTGTTAGATGATTTTGCCCAACTGTAGGCTAATGTCAGTGTTCTGAGCATGTTTAAGGTAGGCTGGGTTAAGCTATGATATTTGGTAGGTTAGGTGTATTAAATGCATTTTTGATTTAATATATTTCCAACTTACAATAGGTTTATTGGAAGGTAACTCCACTGTAAGTCAAGGAAGATATATATGGGCCTCTGGGGCTCCGCTGTTTTTCAAGCATGCTACATTATGGTGAAAGGTCTATTTTTATGGAATGGCATATACAGTGTTAAGCACTTCATGTATATTATGTCAATAACTAACATACCTGACACATAGTAGATCTAATTAACGTTATCTTCATTCATTCTCTACCACTCCCAATCACAGCACATCTGAAAAAAAAAGTTTCTTTTTTGAAGACTAAGTTGACAACTCTAAGGTCTATTTTAGAAAATTTCTTTTCAGCATAAAAAGGGATTTTGCCTGTTGTGTTTATCTTAATTATTTGAAAACAAATGGCTTACATTAAGGTAAATTTGTTAACTCTTTCTATATGTGTATGTAAAAATGTAATGATACATGTATCACCTGACCTCTTGAGGTAGTATGTGTGCTCAACCCACTTGCCCTTAACCCCAGGTCACAGGCTTATATGAAAGATCAACCCAGTCTAGAGGGACTTTGGACTCTCTTTAGTCAACTAACAGAACTTGTCTGGTAACCCATGTAGGAGCAATGGCAAATGTTCTAGGTCACATTAAACTTTTCTGGTGTCACTTCTATATTAATTTTGCTGAAAGTACCTAGCCAGAATAGCTTCCTGCAGCAAAGTCAATTTACTGTCCTCAATTAGAAAATGTCATAATAATGACAGATTGTTATCATTTTTTAAAGTATATTATAGTTGTATATCCCATCCGTGTGAGGTATAATTTTAGCTAGTTTATTTGACTTATTTTGGTAGACTTTATTTTGTCAGTTAAACAAATTTCAACAATTAATTCATAGCAAGTCAATGATAGTGAAATAATTGCTTGACAAAATGTTATGCCTTTTTTAAGCTACCTCATGTCTCCCAGGTTTCTAGGTGTAATGAAGCACAAGTATAATCCATGGAAATTCAAAGAAATAATGCTTATTCATAGGTTATTAGTACAGCGAAAATGAATATTAGTAAATTATAGCTTTGTCATAACATTTTTATTACTTTAGGAGAGAAAATTAAATTGTGCCACAGAAAGATTTGCACATAATGAGCTAACATTAAACTACTTTTTTCTTCTTTATACCTAGAGAATGGGATATTATAGAAACTGAAGAGCATTATAAGAGTCGATGGATATCTATTAGGGTTCTGTATCTTACTATGTTTTTAAGCAGTATAGGTAAGTATTAGAAATTGTACGTAATTTAAATAATTCAGATATAGTATCTTAATGTCACTTAATTTTTAAAATTATCTTTTATTTTAGTAAAAATCATATAATATAAAATTTCCCATTTTACCCATTTCTAAGATCAGAAGTGTTACATATATTTATATGATTATGTAACCAATTTCCAGAATGTTTTCATCTTGCAAAACTAAAACTCCTCGTTTCCCATTAAACAACTCCTTATTTCCCCTTCCTCCCAGGCCCTGGAAACCCCCGTGCTTTCTGTTTCTATAAATTTGACATTAGATATTTCATATAAGTGAAATCATACAGTATTTTTCTTTTTGTGAGTAGTGTATTTGATTTAGCCTAATGTTCTCAAGGTTTATTCATGTTACAGTATGAGTCAGAATTTCCTTTCTTTTGAAGACTAAATAATAGTCTATTGTATATATGGTGGGGAAGGAAAATCTTTTCCTCTACTTGCTTAGGTTCTGTAGCTGCTACCTGCAAATTAAAGCAATGGAGGACAGATCAACAGGGAAAAAAGCTTACACATTTATTTGATGTTAATATTTTTACATTACACAGGGCTTCATAGAAGAGAAGTGAAAATTCCAAAGAAATGGTTAGAATTCAGGGCTTATATACTATTTTAACAAAGGGCAGTGATTGTAAAGACATGACTAAGGAAAGGAGTTTGGGCTTCAATGGATGGTAAATTGTAGGAAAGTAACTAGGGAATATATGAGGGACACCAATGGAAGATTTTAGTTAGGGTTGTTTCTACAGACTTATCTCAACATGGATTCTCTATCCAAGGATAAGAATCCTAGTCCTGGGAGAGCAACTTCCTAGGGAAATTTATGCTGTTTTTAGGCAGAAAGGGGGAGGGCAGAGAGCCCTTCTTTCATCTGCTGTTAGTTGCCTTTAGTTCAAAATAATCAGCATGCCAAAGTGGTAGATTTTGGGGGTGGCATGTTCTGATGCCCTTTAGTATATACCACATTTTATTTATTCATTCAGCTGTTGACAAACTCTGTGGTTGCTTCTACCTCTTGTCTCTTATGAATAGCTACTGTGAACATTAATGTGCAAATACCTTTTTTACATCCTGCTTTCTAGTTCTTCTGTATGTACAGTCAGAAGTAGAATTACTGAGGTGCCTGGGTGGCTCAGTTGGTTAAGTGTCCAATTCTTGTTTTTGTCTCAGGTCATGATATCATGTTTTGTGAGACCAAGCTGATGAGGGATCAGAAGGCAAGCTAAGCACAAAGCACAAACTAGCACCCTCCCCCCCCCCCGGTGGGATATGTGTGATATTCCTTAGGCACTCCTGGCTGCCGAAGAACAAAGGAAAGGAAAACGGTTAACTGATAGATATCACAGTCATATAGGACATGAGTATCCATCAGTTTACAAATGTTTTAGTAAATTATAAGAAAAATGCAATCTTAGTAATAGCCTAATCTCCAAAAACCTGTAAACTAAGTTTCTTGGACCTCTTCTCCATAGTGATGTGGGAAACAAAGGCAAGAAGGAAATGGCAGGTAAAATTAAATTTCCTTATAACCTGCAGCCCATTGACAAATACTTGTATCAAATATAGAGTAAAACATTTCTACAGGAACCCCTGCTGTCCTAATGTTAATGCCTACTAGAGGAAAAACAACATTAGCTTGACAGTACCTAGGACTCTGGTATCTTATGAATCTTCTTTAACATAGGAAAATCCCTTTTGGAACTTCTCTTAACTTTATCTCCTCCAACTGCATGATATATAAAAGGTCACCCTTATAACACAGCTCTTTCTGCCCATAGGTCCTGTTCCCATACTTTAATAAAAATCACCTTTTTTGCACCAAAGGCATCTCAAGAATTCTTTCTTGGCTTTAGGCTCTGAACCCCCAACTTTCAAAAACCCCATCAAAGACCTGAATTGAGTTGGTCTCTGCACTGAAAGTGCGGAGCCTGCTTGGGATTCTCTCTGCACCTCCCCTGTGCTGTCTCTCTCCCTCTCTCAAAATAAATAAATAAACATTAATTTTTAAAAAAGTAGAATTGGGGCACCTGGGTGGCTTAGTCGGTTAAGCGTCCGACTTTCGCTTGGGTCATGATCTCGCAGTTCATGGGTTCGAGCCCCACGTCGGGCTCTGTGCTGACTGCCAGCTCAGAGCCTGGAGCCTGTTTCAGTCTGTGACTCCCTCTCTCTCTGACCCTCCCTTGCTCACGCTGTCTCTCTCTCTCTCTCCTAGAAATAAATAAAACATTAAAAAAAAAAGTAGAATTGCTGAATCACATGATAATTCTATTGATAATTTTTGAGGAAGTGATATACTATTTTCCATAGCTGCTATACTATTTATACATTCACACCAACAAGCAGGGTTCAAATTTTTCTACATCCTCACCAACTTTTATATTTATTTATTTATTTATTTATTTAGTTTTGTTTTTTTTAACTTTTATATTTATTTAATAGTAGTCATGCTAATGGGCATGAAGTGATATCTTACAGGTTTTTTTTCTTTTTTTGGCTTATATTTCCCTAATGATTAGTGATGTTGGGAATATTTTCATATACTTATTGGTCATTTGTATATCTTTGGGAAAATGTCTATTAAAGGCCTTTGCCCACTTCCTAATCAGGTTTTTTGTTATTGTTGAGTTGTAGAAGTTCTTTACATACTCTGGATATTAACCCCTTATCAGATAAATGATTTATAAATTTTTATTTTTTATTTTTTAACATTTATTTATCTTTGAGAGAGACAGAGTGTGAGCAGGGAGGAACAGAGAGGGAGACACAGAATCCAAAGCAGGCTTCAGCACAGAGCCCGATGCAGGGCTCAAACCCACAAACTGCGAGATCATGACCCGAGCCGAAGTTGGCTGTTCAACCAACTGAGCCACCCAGGCACCCCAATGATTTATAAATATTTTCTACTGTTCTAGGCCTCTTCTTTCCACTCTACTGATTGTCTTTTGATTCACAATAGTTTTAATTTTGATGTAGTCAAATATATGTTTTTTTTTCTTTTGTTGCCTATGAACCTCATTTAATTTTTTTTAAGTTTATTTATTTATTTTGAGAGACAGAGAGTGAGTAGGGGAGGGGCAGAGAGAGTGAGAGAGACAGAATCCCAAGTAGGCCCTGTACTGTCAGTGCAGAGCCCGAATCAGGGCTTGATCCCACGAACCTTGAGATCATGACCTGGGCTGAAATCAAGAGTCTGACACTTAACTGACTAAGCCATCACCACATTGACACAAATTGTAAAACGAAATCTTAATTTGTATAGCTTGATGTATTTTAATCTATTAACATTATTTCTGAAAATATAGTTACTAAAAAGTAAAACTTCATGAGGAAAATTTTAATATTTAGAACTGTACTTACGTTAAAATGACAAAGAATGAATGGGAGTTATCAATACTGTGACAATTTTTAAAGAAGTGTTTTAGGGAATCCATTCTTTTCCTAAGCTTAGACCATTTAAGTCTTTAGGCACAAATTTTACAAGTGGCATCTTTCCCTGACACAGATTTACTGAAGGTCATTTACTAAGTTTTTAAAACTAGTTTTCCTTCTCTTTTCTATTTATCCCAGTCACTTTCTTGTTTTCTTTCATTAAACAATCTCATTCATCATTCACCACTGAGTAAAAATAATATTTTAAATAAAGCTAAAACTAAAGAAATGTACAAAATAAAGGATATTTTCAACAATTCTTTGTAATGCAACTTCATTTTGGATTGTATATTTATTATGATGCCCTCTACAGATCTTAGGGGGGAAATGTTGATTCGAATTGGCTTAGACAGTAATTTATTTTTTCTTGTAAGATACCTATAGTAGGACAACTCCAGGTGAAGTTCACTAGGGTTTTGGTTCTGTTTCCCACTACATATTTTAGCTTTGTCCTCTTCTACACACTGACTTCTCTCTGTAGGCTATAGCAAGGATGCTGCAGTAGCCCAAAGTGTTACATCCATAATTTTTATTGATCAAAAGGGACTTTTTTTTAAACCTCTGCAGAGAAAAGGAGTCCTTTCTTAGAGGTCCTAAAGAAGACCTCCCTTCACTTTTCACTGGTCAGAACTGGGCCCTGTCAATTTCTAAGCCAGTCAACTAAGATAGTGAAATTATCCTGACTGAATTCTTTAATATGATTTACCCTCTGGAATTTGGGGTGGAGACAGTTTCTCCTAAAGCCCGTAGCTTTGTGGAGGAATGATGGATACCTGAATAAAAATGGGATTCTATCAGGAAGAAGGAAGGGGGCAAAAGAGTATTGTGGAGGTAGCAACCTCTGCAATAGCTTTTTTTTTTTCCTTCATTTAAAATACTTCCATGGGCAGCTGGGTAACTCAGTTGACTATCCAACTCTGGCTCAGGTTACAATCTTAGAGTTTCTTACACAGTCTTAATAGAGCCTGCTTCAGATTCTGTCTTTCCCTCTCTCTTGCTGCTCCCCTGCTTGCACTCTCTCTCTCTCTCAAAAATAAACATTAAAAGTTAAAATAAAATAAAATACTTCTAATTTATGGAGCATTTGGGTGGTTCAGTTGATTAATTGTCTGACTTTGGCTCAGGTCATGATCCCATAGTTCCTGTGTTTGAGCCTCTCATCGGGCTCTCTACTGTCAGCACAGAATGCACTTCAGATCCTCTGTCTCCCTGTCTCTCTACACTCCCTCTACTTTGGCATACCCTCTCAAAAATAAATACTTAAAAAATAAAGTTCTTTTAGTTTATGTAATAACAATGGAATATTATTCAGCCATAAAAAAGAATGACATCTTGCCATTTGCAAGATGGATGGAGCTAGAGTTTATAATATTAGACCCAATAAGTTAGTCAGGGGAAGACAGATAATATATGATTTTGCTAATACGTAGAATTTAAGAACAAATAAAATAAGCAAAGGAAGAAGAGATAGACAAACCAAGAAATAGACTCTTTAATGTTTATTTATTTTATGAGGGAGAGAGACAGACAGAGACAGAGTGTGAGCAGGGGAGAGGCAGAGAGAGAGGGAGACACAGATTCCTAAGCAGGCTCCAGGCTCTGCTTGAGATGTTAGCAAAGCCTGATGTGGGGCTTGAACCCACAAAGTATGAGGTCATGACCTGAGCTAAAGTTGGAGGCTTAATAGACTGAGCCACCGAGGCACCCCGGACTCTTAACTATATATAGAGAACAAACTGATGGTTATCAAGGGGGTTGGGGAGGTAGGAGGATGTGTGAAATAGGTGATGGGGATTAAGATGTGCACTTGTCATGATGAGCACTGGGTAATATATAGAAGTGTTGAATCACTGTATTGTATACCTGAGCCTAATGTAGCACTGTATATTAACCATACTGGAATTAAAATAAAATAAATAAAATTAAATACTTTTAATTTTTTGTACTAAATTATCTAAAATTATAGGTAATAATTTCAATTTTAATGGCAAAAATTATTTTAACTTTAGATTTTAATTAGCATGTTAAACATTTTACCTCTTTAATTTTCTTGATTGTGAAATTGTAGCCTTGATTTCAAATATTAGTTTACTCTTTAAGTCGTCTTTTCATCAAAATCAATATGTTAATTCAAAATACACTAAAATGAAACTAATAATTAAGTTATTTTTAATACAGGCTTTCTAAAAAGAAGTACTGATATTGCTGGATGATGCTTGAAAACATTATGCTAAGAAAGATGCCAGATACAAAAGACACATGTTGCCTGATTCTATTCATATGAAAATCTATAGAGACAAGTAGATTAGTAGTTGCTTAGGGCTTGGTGGGCAATAGGATGGAAAGCAGCTAAAAGGTCCAGAGTTTCTTTGTGATGTGACTAAAATGTTCTAAAATTGAATGTGGTGATGGATGCACATATCTTTGATTATATTAAAACCACTGACTTGAATACTTTGAGAGGGTAGATTGTATGGTATGTGAAGTATATCTTAATAAAAGTGTTTTTTTTTAAATAGCCTTTATAGAATTTTGATTGGACATGCCTAATGTTAAAATTGACAAATAGGATTAGGTTTATGAAGTTTATCACTACAGCTCTTAAGCAGTAAAGGGTAGCAGAGGTAATGAATTTTCTTTTAAGGTAGAGCCATCTTGAAGCCTCCTGGTTCTTTATAGCCACTGCCTCCTTTATATGATCATTTTCCATTTTCCTAGACTTCCTACGGTCAATTATCTCTGCCAAACAACATAGATTAGAAGTCTACCACTTCTTCTATAACACAGTGGCCTTTTGTCCATTCATTTCTGCTTATATAAACTTAACAAAACTTTCAGTAATTTCTGCTTACAGTAAAGATATGTGAATAAGGAGAAATAGGTCCTCTGCTTTTATTATCCTCATTATGACCAGGGACTATAATTACATATGATTTTCAAGTCTTTAATATTTATTTTCCTTCTGATAAATACAACTCCATAGTTTAATAAGAAATATTTTAGGGCATAAATTTGTAAATTGAGAATGATACTTTATCCATGTTATAGTTCAAAAAATTAATATCTATAAATAGTGATGACATCATTTTAAGATAAATAACAGGGTTTGCTTCTTTACAGGATTTTCTATTGTGATAATGTCAATATGGCCATATCTCCAAAAGGTTTGTACACTTCAATCTATTATTTTCTTAAGTAGCTATAGTAGTAGTAACTCTTACATGGTTAAGAGTTTTCTTGACAGTGTCTTTGGTACTTTATTGATTTAATCTTTACTAGTGTGACTTGAGATGATAATTCCTCAAAAGAGGCTTTTAGGTGATCCAGTGCTTCACTGTGCAAACCAGAACACTCTTGAAATGAAGGGAGCACTATACCAGGAAAACAGTATTATACCTGGATAGTCCTAGACAAATGTAGATGTATGCTCACCTACTTATTAGCTACTTTCATATCCCATCAATGCCCCCTCCCTGATATAAAGGAAACTAAATTATATATAATCTGAATTCCTGAAAGATATGACATTCCTATGTAATAATTTTGTGCTTTCCCATAGAATTAATTTGGGTTATCCGGTGACATTGTGAAAAGAATAGACAATATATGTATTTTGATGCTGTGGTTACTAGATGGGGAAGAAGGGGTGACCAAAAGATGCAAGTTTAGTAGGTACCCTGGCATCAGTTAATCATCAGGTCCTGCCATTTATTAAAAAAAAAATGGCATATAACATATGTCTATTCTATCTTAAATCTCCAGGAATGAATTTGCTAAAAATCAGTATATAAGTTGCAGACATAATTCATCTATAACAATATTTTAGTTAAGGTTCTTGATGAAGTTCTCTATATTCTCCAACCTCCTATTCACTCCTGAACCTGCTACGATCTGATTCATTCCTCTGCTACCCTGAAACTGCTCCTATTAAGGTCTCCAATGATTTGCCTCCTGACCAAATAGATACTTTTTAGTCCTTTGCATGACGTTTGGGTAGCGTTTGACATTGTCAACCTCTCCCTGCTTCCTGAAAACCCTCTCTTAGCTTCTGTACATTTCTCTGTCCTAGCTTTGCTCTTTAAGTATTTGTTATTAAGTTCTTTTGTGAGTTTTCTTTATCAACTTGTTCCTTATATGTTGGTTTTTCCCAGAGGCTGGGCTGGGGTGGGCTGGGCTGGGTTGGGCTGGTCTGTGTGTGTGTGTGTGTGTGTGTGTGTGTTGTAGATTAAATCCTAACCCTTGGCCCATATTAGATCTATAGCCAACAATTTATTAGACATATGTACTTGAATGAATCTAGGTTCCTGGGACCTTTACACATTTTTCTCCATTTTTATCTGGAATGCTATCCCTCCCTTCATCTCTCCTTTTCTCTGTCCTTCCCTTCTACCCTTCTTCCATATTATCTTTATCCCTATCATCTATTATCCCTATTATTTAAACATAATGCCTATGATACAAGAAGCTTTTTTATTTGATTTTATTATTTTATTTTATTTATATTACTTATTCCTTCACCTTAGATTTTTTAGTTTTTATAAAATTTTACCTTTTTGAAAATGCTAACTTTTAAAATATCTGATATTATAAAAGGAATAAGGACAAAAATACAAATTTCATTTTCTTTACTGAGTTGGTGCCACATTTTCATCACTATTTTGAAAATTATTCAAAAGATTATATTACATGAAATTATTAGCCATGATGCTAAAAATTCCTTTCTTACTGGCACAGTTATTAGAATTAAAGCGGAATAGGGGCGCCTGGGTGGCTTAGTCGGTTAAGCGTCCGACTTTCGCTTGGGTCATGATCTCGCCGTTCGTGGGTTCGAGCCCCGCGTCGGGCTCTGTGCTGACTGCCAGTTCAGAGCCTGGAGCCTGTTTCAGTCTGTGACTCCCTCTCTCTCTGACCCTCCCCTGCTCACGCTGTCTCTCTCTCCTAGAAATAAATAAAACATTAAAAAAAAAAAAAATTAAAAAAAAAAAAAAGAATTAAAGCGGAATATTTAACAATTCTAGAGCAATATTTTCTTTGCCAAAAATATATTTCCATGTATCAAAACTCTTTATTTCTGTGGTCTTTGTATCTAGTCTGTTTAACCTCAAAATTATCAAAAGAAAGGTATTTACAATAATTAGGACTACTCAGCACAATATGTTGAATTTTGAAAAGGTACACTACTTTCTCCACGTATTTGAAAGCTCTTCAAAGGTAAATTTAGTGAGTACATGAACTTGTAACTAGTTCTTTGGCAATGCAAATATAGCAATTTCACTAAAAAACTTTTCTCAAGTTATTTCATAACAATAGTGAGAGCTCACTGTGTGCCAGGTACAGTACTAAACTTTTCATCTTTTGATATTCATAACAAACATATGAAATTATTATCACTCCTGTTTGACAAGTGAAGAAGCTCACAGTCAGAAAGTTGGGTAGGTTGCTCAGGTCACACAGCTAGAAGACGGCAGAGCCAAACCTACCTGAAACCAAAATCTGACTCAACAACAGTGCTGTGTTACCTACTGTCTTAAACTGTTTAATTCTTAATTTAAGACTTCCATCTCTTTTTCAATAGCATGTTGAAAAATATTATTTAGCTGAAAAGCCATCTGTGAAGAAAGATAAAAAGCTACACCACTGCCTCTTCCCAAGAAAACGCAGAAAACAAACAAAACAAAACAGTAAATTATTTGTCTGAAAAGAATTTAGCACCAATGTAACCTCTGAAATGTGCTTCTTTCTGACCCTGGCTGATAGACAGCCATCAGGCAAGTGATTCCTGAGGCTCTGTTGCCCAGAGGTGGGATAAATTTCCAGGAAGATTCAAAACTAGATTTTGAATTGGAAGGATACGTTATTTTATAGGGTCAGGGAGATATATATATATCTCTCAGGAATATATATAGTGTGTGTGTATGTGTGTGTGTGTGTGTGTGTGTGAGAGAGAGAGAGGGAGGGACAGAGACAGAGAGAGAGAGAGGCAAGCAGGTGGTCAGACAGACAGACATGGACATGGGCTTTTAGGGGGATGTTGCTAATTCAAACTAAAGAAATTCTGGAATACTGTCAAAAATCAGTTACAGCGGAGCTGAGTTTTGAAGGTCTGTAGAAGTTGGTTTCCTGAAGAAAAGTAGGAGGTGGGGAAGGCATTGCTGGTACAAGTGGGCAGTAGAGAATTCAGTACAAAGGACTGGAGGCAAAGAATTTGACTCATTTTGGAAACTTCAAACAGTTCTAGTAGCTGGAAGTTAGAATTGGGGGAAGGGTACATGCAGAAAGATGAGTCTAGAGAAGAGACTGTGGCCAACTTGTGAGCTAGGTTTTCATAAAAAGCAGTTTAGATTTTATCCCAAAAGTGGTATGATAGAGATCACCAGAGGTGGCCAGAGTACCAGAAATAAGATGCTGTTAGTACTGTATAAGAGAGAAACACACGAGTGCAGATAACAGTTTAGTTACTGAAGTGACACCTTCTGTTATAGTATAGAGCCTGTATCCTCCAAACCTTTGTACTTCCCTGTGACAATTCTAGCAGAATTTTCTAACAGATTCCAGTTTCCCAATCACTGTGAAGAACTGTGTCCAGTTAAAATAAAAGTTTCTACTGGTCTCTGGAAAATATTTTTAATATTCAAAAGTCAGCTTCTGTCCCTGAAACACATACTTGGCTATGTTCAATGATATCCTGAGAAGACAATAACATCCGTTTGCTTTCAAGCCACTACGCATTTAGCATTAAAACTGAGTTTTCACTGCTTTTTTGAAAATTAATTGAAAAAATTTTATGACATGAAGTTATTTTAAATTTTTAATAGACTGATCACAGGAGCTAAAGGTAATATAGGTAGAAAATAAAAGCCAGAGTGCCTAAAATAAGATATTTTAAAAGCTGGAGCTTTAATATTGTGTATCATTGTACATATTCACTCTTATTTCTCATTCCCCACTAGAAAATATACCTAAATATTTTCATTTTAAACTATTTAAATTTTTTAAATGTTTTTATTTATTTCTGAGAGAGAGAGAGACAGCATGAGCAGAGGAGGGTCAGAGAGAGAGGGAGACACAGAATCTGAATCTGAAACACGCTCCAGGCTCTGAGCTAGCTGTCAGCACAGAGCCCGACACAGGGCTCAAACCCACGAACTATGAGATCATGACCTGAGCTGAGTTGGACGCTTAACCGACTGAGCCACCCAGGCGCCCTGATTTTAAACTATTTAAAGTATTTTTAAAAAAGAAAAGGCTGTGGTTGTCCTTAAGTTGTTCTACCACTTTATATGTTTAATCTTATTTCCTAAAAATTTAAATTTTTTTAAATGTTTATTTATTTTTGAGAGAGAGACAAGAGCACAAGGAGGAGAGGGGCAGAGAGAGAGGGAGACACAGAATCTGAAGCAGGCTCCAGGCTCTGAGCATTCAGCACAGAGCCCAACGTGGGGCTCAAACTCAGAGACTGCGAGATCATGACCCTAGCTGAAATCAGAAGCTAAACAAACTGAGCCACCCAGGCGCCCCTAATTTCCAATAATTTAATGGTTCTTATGTTTCCAAATTATATAGCCTACCATATATATATTTTTTAATCTGTTAATTTATTCCATAGCCCCTTTGTAAGCTAAAATTTTCTATTTTTTGAAAGAATTTCATTTTCCAAATTTAATCATTTGGTTCTCTCCTCAACATTTATCATGATACATAAACCCTCTTTCAGTGGTAGAACCCTGAGTCGTTCATGTTGAAAGGAAGAATTAATAATAGATTTATTGAGAGAATTGTCTTTGAGCTTTTGTGCTTTTATTCTCTTCTTTAAGCATTTGACTATTGTGCCCAGTTTAAAAAGAAATTTAGGGGCGCCTGGGTGGCTTAGTCGGTTAAGCGTCCGACTTTCGCTTGGGTCATGATCTCGCGGTTCGTGGGTTTGAGCCCCGCGTCGGGCTCTGTGCTGACTGCCAGCTCAGAGCCTGGAGCCTGTTTCAGTCTGTGACTCCCTCTCTCTCTGACCCTCCCCTGCTCACGCTGTCTCTCTCTCTCTCCTAGAAATAAATAAAACATTAAAAAAAAAAAATTAAAAAAAAAAAAAAATTTACAGTGCTAATGGCTATTTACCTTATGGGATAGCATAAGTCTAAATAATTGTATTTACTTTATAAGAATTAAAGAATGGCATTTTACTTTTGTGATGATATTGTTTTATACATATAATGTGATTATTTTTTAACAAGACTTTTATGAACCAAAAATTCCTATAATCATTCTAAAAGATGAAGCTTCTCAAGTATTGTTTTTAGTGTATAGTGAATTGGTAGCACATTTAATTGTACTGTCAGAAGTTTGAATCCCTTAATGTACTTAATAGGGCTACAAAACTTATATGTTAGAATTATTGTTTTTATTTACTTAAATAGGAAATGTTGCATGGTCAGAAAATGTGCTTAAGTCTACTTTTCTTGGATAACATTTCTTAAAGCATTGTACTTTTTTCTGCAGATTGACCAGACAGCTGATGCAAGTTTTTTGGGCTGGGTTATTGCTTCATTTAGTCTTGGCCAAATGGTAGCTTCACCTGTACTTGGTTTGTGGTCTAATTATAGACCAAGAAAAGAACCTCTTATTGTCTCCATCTTCATTTCGGTCGCGGCTAACTGCCTCTATGCATATGTCCACGTTCCAGCTTCTCATAATAAATACTACATGTTGGTTGCTCGTGGTTTGGTGGGAATTGGAGCAGGTAATAACTATGTATGTGTTTGGCTGTTCAGATTCACATTCACCCTGAATGAATCCTCTCTTACCTGGTGTCACCCCCTCTCAATCTCATATCTCACAACTCAACATATAGTTCTGTCATTGCAAATAGACAAATATCTTCCCCATCATTTTGGCCTTTGTCATGATATTCCCATTACCTGTGGCTTCTCTATTCTGTTCCCATCATTCTTCATCCTTCAAGATTCAGTTCAAGTTCCACATCTTCCATAAAGCATTCTTAGGTTACCCTACCCCTTAACAGATCTTTCCTGTCTCCAGCATGTCTGTGGCACTTGCTTAACTACTGTTTTGCTCTGTTTTCATCCTTTATCACAAACCAGATAGTAAACTTTTTATAATTAGAGATAATTTATGACTTCCTATAATATTCTGTGGCCTCTTTCTTGCAGTCTCTTGAACATAATAAGAGCTCAATACATTTTTTTAACAAATTTTTTTGAGTCAAATTGTTAGTGGATCTTTTTCTGTTTCTTATATTACATTTAAGCATGCAGAGTTTGTGATGTCTTTGTTTTAAAAATAATTGTAACAATCAGTAGTTTGCAATTTACTCAGTGCTTTCTCCATATTTAATAAGAAAAAAAGTCTAACATTTCTGTAATGCCACTTTTTCATTTATTCAGATCTTTCATTGTGTTTTCATGTTACTAAAGCAAGATTTTCCACTAATTGATACATTTGCTCAATGTATATGCTTTGTATGATCAGAAAGAAGAAATTGTGACTATACTAAAGATTAATATTTTTGTTCTATATGAAGCCAAATTAAGTTGAATTTTATAAACTGAAGAATATTTTCTTTGTCTTTGGATTATTATGTCTTAGGAAATGTAGCAGTTGTTAGATCATACATCGCTGGTGCTACTTCCCTTCAGGAAAGAATAAGTTCCATGGCAAACACAAGTGCATGTCAAGCATTAGGTTTTATTCTAGGTCCAGGTAGGTATTTTTCACTTGTCATTACTTGATTTTGAATTGGGAGAACTTTTGAGGTTCAAATGTTAAATGGAATCCAAGTATAAAACCTTATAGCTAAAAGGAAAGGTAAGGAAGCTAATATTTTTGATTCAGCAGGAGGCTAGGCTCTTTTTTTTAATTTTTTTAATGTTTATTTATTTATTTTTTTCCAAAAAAAATTTTTTTAATGTTTTATTTCTTTCTAGGAGAGAGAGACAGCGTGAGCAGGGGAGGATCAGAGAGAGAGGGAGTCACAGACTGAAACAGGCTCCAGGCTCTGAGCTGGCAGTCAGCACAGAGCCCGACGCGGGGCTCGAACCCACGAACCGCAAGATCATGACCTAAGTGAAAGTCGGACGCTTAACCGACTAAGCCACCCAGGCGCCCCTAATGTTTATTTATTTTTGAGACAGAGAGAGAGACAACGTGAGAAGGGGAGGGTCAGAGAGAGAGGGTGACACAGAATCTGAAGCAAGTTCCAGGCTCTGAGCTGTCAGCACAGACCCTGATGCGGGGCTCGAACCCACGAACCATGAGATCATGACCTGAGCCAAAGTTGGATGCTTAACCGACTGAGCCACCCAGGTGCCTCTAGGCTCTCTATATGTGTTAACAAATGTTCTCTAAAGTAAATAATATTAGTCCCATTTTACTAGGACTAATTAGGACACCAAAGCGTAGAGAGTCTAAGTAAGTTATTCAAGGTCAGCCAGATAACAAATGGGAAATATGAGATTCAAACCTAACTCTGTCTGACTCCTTAGTGTATGTTCTGTGAAATAATCATTTAGCTTGACATCTCCATTATACTTAGCTTTTTATCTTGTTTATTAGAAACAAATTATTTTTTAAATTTTTAAAATTTTTATTTTTGGAGAGAAAGTGTACCTGTATGTACATCTGTGCAAGTGGAAGAGGGGCAGAGAGAGAGGGAAAGAGAATCAGGTAGTCTCTGTGCTCAGTGCAGAGCCCAATGTGGGGCTCCATCCCATGGCTGTGAGATCATGAGCTGAGCTGAAATCAAAAGTTTGACGCTAGGGGTGCCTGGGTAGCTCAGTCCTTAAATGTCTGACTCTTGATTTCAGCTCTTGATTTTGGCTCGGGTCATGATCTCATGGTTGATGAGTTAGAGCCCCAAAGTGGGCTCTGGGCTGACAGTGCAGAGCCTGCTTGGGATACTCTCTCTCTTGCTCTGTCTCTGTCTCTCCCCTGCTTGTGCTGTTTCTCTCACAAAATAAATAAACTTTGAAAAATTTTTGAAGAGTTGGACACTTAACCAACTGAAACACCCAGACACCCCAGAAACAAAATTCTTTTGACTAAAGGATTTGAGGAAAGTTATAGAAGGTTCTTTACCCTTTTGCTCTTTGCCCATACTTTTCAGACTATTCTGAGGTTTGAAGAATCTTAGAAAGACTACTTAAAGACTGTTCTTCAAAGTGTCCATCCTTTAGCTGAGTGTAAAACAATAAAACTTAATACTTCCCTAAGACAAGTTTTTCCTGATTAGATAAATTAGTAATTTTTATGCCTAAAAAAACATTGAAGGGTCACCTGCATGGCTCAGTTGGTTAAGCGTCCAACTCATGGTTTCAGCTTAGGTCATGATCTCATGGTTTGTGAGTTGGAGCCCCACATCAGGCTCTGTGCTGACAGTGCAGAGCCAGCTTGAGATTCTCTATCCCTCTCTCTTTGCCTTTCCCTCCACCTTTCTATCTCTCTCAAAAATAAATAGATAAGCCTTTAAAAAAATTAAATAAGAAAGAAAAACATTGAAAAATCATATAATTGGTTCATGCTTTGAATATTACAGTTATGAATACCATCTCTTTGAGTCCATTTCCATTTACTTTATCATTAATATCCTACCCTCACTCGTTTCCATTATTATTTTTTAAAATTTTTAAATTTTTTTATTTTTTTAAATTTATTTCTGAGAGAGAGAGAGAGAGACAGCGTGAGAAGGGGAGGGTCAGAGAGAGAGGGAGGTACAGAATCTGAAACAGGCTCTAGGCTCTAAGCTAGCCATCAACACAGAGCCCGATGCGGGGCTTGAACCCACGAACCATGAGATCATGACCTGAGCCAAAGTCAGACGCTTAACCAACTGAGCCACCGAGGCGTCCCTCCATTATTTTTTTTAAACATTTTTTTAAATGTTTATTCCTGAGAGAGAGACATAGAGCACAAATGGGGGAGGGGTAGAGGAAGAGGGAGACACAGAATCCAAAGCAAGCGCCAGGCTCTGAGCTGTCAGCACAGATCCTGACGTGAGGCTCAAACCCACAAACCACAGGATCATGGCCTGAGCCGACATCAGATGCCCAACCAACTAAGCCACCCAGGCACCACTCCATTACTTTCTTTTAGATAACCAAGAAAAAGCTCTGCAAAAGAGAATCCAATTTATCTTTCACCAAAATCTAATATTCCAGTTTAATATTTTGGAGTATAAGTACAAATGTAGAATAATTGCATCTATTGCCGTATTATAAAATATATGAGGACATAGTATGGGTCTTTTCATTTACCACTCTACCCTCAGTATCTAGCACAGTACCTGGTATAGACTTAGGTTCTTAGTAAATAAGAAGTATTTTGAAAATTAAATAATGATAAAATAAAAGAGGTAAAAGCATGTAATAGATCTCATAGCATTTTAGAACCAGGGATGGCTTAAGAAGTTATTTAGCTCAACCCACTTTATTTCAGAGCCAAGAATATAGAGGTTTAGAGACAGTATCAGCTATTTCAAAGACAGACAGGAAATTAGAAAAAAAAAAGACCAGTACTAAAATTTATATCACCTTGTTCATTAATTTGTCACATTTTCAACCTGAGAATAAAAGAAATAATCAAAAAGAAAAAGTATTTTAAAGATTTTGTATTATTTAAATATTTTGTATTATTTTTAGATGAGTAAATGTAGGCCTTGAAAAGATTAAATGACCTTTCCTGTAATAAGCACATTAACACCACTAGCATTTATTGAAAGTTTACTATGTGCTAGACGCTGTTCTAAGTATTTTATGTGTAATATCTTACTTCATCCTTACCCGAAGGTTACTTGTAAATTATTGGAAGAGCCAGATACAGAATCTAAATCAGGAAAGCAAACTAGTTCTCTTCCACAAAGATTGATTTTTGCCATAGATCCAAATTTAAAAATATATATGATTTAAATACCATATACAGAGTGATAATTTGAAATATTGACTTAAAATATGACATTCTATTTCTTATAATGAAATTGTAATTTTTTAATGGAAGAAATTGGATAATTTAAATTTTCTGTGGAGATGTTTTTTAAAAAGGAAGATACTGACAAATTACTTTATATATACTACCTTGCGAATGTATGTATATCAGTGTTTCTCAACCTTTTTCTCATTATTGTCCCACCAAAGAGCTTTTTTAGATGTTTTTTTTCCTAATCTCAACAGATCAATTGTATATCTTTTATGTACTGTATGAATATTTATGTTTTATATGGAAAAAGAGTAAATATTTTGTCCCCTTACCTCTATTGAGATGTGTGATGTAGATGGATGATTCCATAAAGTTGCTTCCAATTTTGTAGTAAATGTCTCTCAAATTTTTTTTTGCCCTTGCCTCCCACTTAATAATTTATCTGTATACGTTTTATTTTATTAAGTTTTTCAGACTTGTTTTGCACTCATTGGAGAAAAGGGCGTGACATGGGATATCATTAAGCTGCAGATAAATATGTACACAGCACCAGTTTTACTTGGAGCATTCCTGGGAGTTTTAAATATTATTCTGATCCTTACTCTATTAAGGTAATCAGATAGAAATGATAAAATTACTTTTGTAGATTGTGAAATTAAATAAGCATGATCATTATTGGAAGATAATTATTCATATGAAGTCTTTATTTGGTTTTTGATGTCTATAGTTGTGTTCATGGTTTTGTTTTTTTTTTAATTTTTTTTTTTAATGTTTTATTTATTTCTAGGAGAGAGAGAGAGACAGCGTGAGCAGGGAGGGTCAGAGAGACAGGGAGTCACAGACTGAAACAGGCTCCAGGCTCCGAGCTGGCAGCCTGCACAGAGCCCGACGCGGGGCTCGAACCGCGAGATCATGACCTAAGCGAAAGTCGTACGCTTAACCGACTAAGCCACCCAGGCGCCCCTCATGTTTTTGTTTTTTTTTTTTTATCAGCTAATGCATATAGTACTTTTAGCTTAAATAATAGACAATCTGATAAATGAGACTAGATTATAAAGTCTTTGAAGGTTCAAGGTTTGTCTTTATTTACTAACTACAGGTTTCTAAATATAGGAGTGATACGGAAGCACAGTTTTAAGTAGATTAATGATTGGTATCAACCTTAAATACAAAAGTTACTTATACCTTATCTTTTATTTATTAGAAGAAATTTTATTAAACTACAGAAGTTTTATATTTCTTTGGAGTGCTTTATTCAAGGCCCCAAAAACGTTTACAACAAATGTTTAAAATCACTGGAAAACTTCAAATATTTATTAAGGTAGATCATGTATGCTTTTGAATGAATTGAATATTATTCTTCATGTTATATGGTAGTATAATAAGAATTGTAACTTGTATCTTTTAATGGTTATACCTTATTGGTAATAAATTCATTACTTAGAAGTCCGTAAAAGAAACTATATCAGAATGTGAAAAAATAGAAGGCTACTAATAAATTAAAGCCATCTATCTATTATAGTAAGTTTTTCATGGATACAATATTTATGTTTTTCTTTTTAAGAGAACATCGTGTGGATGACTCAGGACGACAGTGTAAAAGTGTTAATTTTGAAGAAGGTACTATCAGCCTTTTGATTAAATTACTATAACATTATCAAAGTATTTCTGATTATTCTGTCTGTTTTGTATTTTACTTGTGAGGACAGTACAATGTGTGATTGGGGGAAGATCTTTGAAGTTAAAAGTTACCTAAAATGATAATTTTTTCAAAAGACATGCCCAGATCAGTTATTTGGTGTTCATGACTGGCAAGGTTAAAACCATTGCTGAAAATCACTTCATATTCTTTGCAAAGAGCCAGTATTCTGAAACCTTCCAGTTCTTTGGAATGATTTCTGTGACATTTCTACCAAATGTATCTTTCTGTTTCAAGCATTTCTTTGCTCGCATAATCATGGAAATAGATTTCTCTTCTATATTTTTATTCTTTTGGTGTACTCTACAAATATACATTATCATCCCTTAGATCTTTCTCTGACTTAGAAGTAAGTAACCAATCTGGTCAGTAGGTATATCTTCCTAAGTAAACTCGTATTTAAGTACTAATTATGTCCTCCATGGGGAGTGTCGCCGTCTGTGTAAAAGATTGCAACTCAGTTCTTGCCTTTAAGGAGTTTGTAAAGATGTGGAAAAGACATGGTGTCTTCTATAGCCATTTTATTTAATCTTTACAATAAAACTAGTGGAAGATAAAGTTGAAAGTAGCATGGAGAGCAGAGTGGTGAAGAGTGTTAGTAAGTTTTTGGAAAAAAAAAAGTATGACACTAAGATTTCATATGAGATTAAACTAGATGTATGAAGACCTGAACTAGGGCAGCAAATAAGAATGGAGAAGACAGATATGTGAGTTTTTGAAGAAAAAAAAATTAAGATTCTTGACAGATTAGATAGGAAATATTTAAGGAATAGAGTGGTTGAAAATGTCTGTCAGGTTTTGAGTCTAGATTAAGTGAAAGAATGGGAGAGAACAAGAATTTAGGAAAGGACATTGGCTGAACAGAGAAAATGATTTCAGTTTGAATCAAGCTAAATATAATGCTACACTAGCACAACTAGAAAATGCCAGAGGCATTTGTAATTTTGGCCTTAGAAATCAAAGCTAGAGATACAAATTTAGAGTAAGCCACTGAAAAACACCACCACAACAGAGTGAGAGAAAAAAGTAAACAAAGGGGTAGACACATCAAGTGTGACAAAATATTGTTGAATATAGGGGCTGAATATATATTTGATATTTTTCAAAATAAAAAATGAAAGAAAAGGAAGAATGATGAGCAAGTGCCAGTGTAGGGTATAAGCCACTTTTTTTCCCCTAAGGTGAAAAATAGGGTGCTAACTTAAAGGACCTATCAGGTAAAAGGAATGAGCATGTAAAGGAGGGTGGGTTTGAGGTGTTGAGAAAAGGAAGATACATAAGAAGCAAAATCTTTCAGAAGTTGGAAGGGGATAGCAGTATCGATTAGGACTTCACTGAATTTAATGTGCTTCAAAAGCACCTGTGCTATCCAAAGCCACCAGATAAAATACAGGATGCCCAGGAGAATTTGAATAATTTTTTAGTATAAATATGTCCCAGTTGGGTAATGTTGGATTTCAGATAAAGAACAAATAATCTTTTAGTATAGATATGCCTCAAATACTTCATGGAACAATTCTTATATTTAAATTGTAAATATTGCATGGAACATAATTAGTTATGATATCACAAATTCAAACTTAACTGAGTATCCTGTATTTTTATTTGCTAAATCTGGCAAACCTAGTGAGATTCAGAGAATCTACCTTTATAGTAAGCTATCATGGGAGCTGATGCTGCTACTGGTCTAAGAACCACACCAAGTATCAAAGATCTAGAACTGCACTGTCTAATATGGTAGCTGTCAGCCACATTTGGCTATTTAAATTTAAATTAAACTAAATTACATTGAAAAAATTCCTCAGTCACACAACCAACACTGTAAATGTTTAATTATGGTTCTGTGTGGCTAGTGGCTAACTGTATTGGACAGCACAGAGAAAGAACATTTCCACCATGTCAGAGTTCTATTGTAAAACACTGCCCTAAAGCACAAAGCAGAGTTTAGAAAGACCAGATCTATTTTCTTTCATAAGATTTCTAAGCACTTCAAAATAATTTCTGAAATAAAAAAGGTTTTAAATTTCAGTAAAAAAATTAAATAAAAATGTTTCTGCTTTTTCCCTGTTGTTAAAATGTTATCATTGGATAGGATCATAATTGCTAATTACATAGTCTTTGAATTGATATATTAGTATCGTCTTTTCCTAAAATATTTATAATTTGGATACCCGGTCAATCCTCAGAGTCTAGGATGCAACATTTCTGAGCTTTTCCACTGAAGCCAACACTGGGTAGAGGCTGCAGGAAACTAATGATGCAAACTCCAGTCTAACTTGGGGCAGTGTTGCTTTTTAATTCAAAGGAGTAAAGACTGGGTTCAAAGTGGTACTTGAGAATCAGAGAGGTTTGTCCAAAATAATATAAGGTCCACAGGGACCAGAGTCTATCTTGGAAAAGGATCTGGACAAAGGAGACCAGTTTTCTTTGTGCAAGAAATGGAGGTCATACTGTGTTGAGTGTTCAGGATGCTTAATTGTCCCCAAATATAGCAGACTATTTCCAAGTCTCATTTATTATTGGAGGAGAAATTCCTTGTCAGGAATCCTAAGATATAAAGGGAAGCACTATTATGAAAAAATTTTAGCAACTTACTGCATCTTGGGAAAGTAGCCCCTTGCCCCCTACTGGTGCTACACATACACTTAAAGATAGCATAAAATGAAAACATTCTTGAATTACTTATTTGGTTTACTCTGAATAAGTGGGTAAATTATAAAATAGCAGGACAAATGCATATTAGCAGATGTATTTGGTTTCATACTTCTCAGTCATATAAGGAATAGCTAATATTGAGTATGCAGCTTAATACATACTTTAAGATAAGTTAATGCATTCATTTACTCCTAATTTATAAAACCACCATCAAATCTGGGTGGTTATTTGCAAAATATATTACTTTACAAAAATATAAATGATAATATAAGGATTTTTTAAGCTGTGTAATAACATATAAGGATACTTACTCATACTAATTTCACTAACATTGAAATTCAAAATACATATCCACTGAAGAGAATCATAGGACTGATTTAATAAATTATTTGAGGTCTTTAAAAAAATCCTTATAAATTTAAGATTTATGTAAAATAGAAAAAAACTTGGAAATTTAAAGCAAATATATGTAGTATGAGATCATTTTATAGAATTTTATAAAATATATACCTATTTGGGGTTAAGAGACAGAAAATAGAAAATCTGAGTATTTCTTATAGTTGACAGAATTGAAGTACATCTCCTAGGAAGAAAATTCACTTTACTTTTAAAAGCCATTTATAAATTACTTCTGTGGTATAAGTTGTTACTTTTAAACCACTTAGAAGCCTAAAAGTGATTTTAAATATTTAGTCACAGAATTTGCTATATATAGTTTCAACATTATTTTAGTGTCATAAGAAAAATTAGATGTTTAAGTAATATAATTTTTCTCCTGTTTGCTATAGCAGGTGCAGATGAAGTTCAGTTTCCCCAAGGAAATATTGATCAAGTTGCTGTTGTGGCCAGCAATGTTCTGTTTTTTGTGGTCCTATTTATCTTTGCCCTTTTTGAAACGTAAGTTTTATTCTGTCTTCATCTAAATCATATTATTTAAATCACCTGTATTTCTTAATGAAACATTAATAGGCTTATTGATGTTCTCAGAAACTTTATAGTAGGCATACTTTTTGTCATGATGTAAAAAATATACATAAATTTTATGCTTTTAACCTGAATATAGTTAGTTTTCTGTCTATAATCTTACTTTATTTTTCTTTTTTTAAAAAAATGTTTTATTTATTTCTGAGAGAGAGAGAGAGACAGTGTGAGTAAGGGAGGGTCAAAGAGAGAGGGAGACACAGAATCTGAAGCAGGCTCCAGGCTCTGAGCTGTCAGCACAGAGCCCAACGCAGGGCTCGAACCCACGAACTGAGATCATGACCTGAGCCGAAGTTGGTTGCTTAACCCTGAGCCGCCCAGGCGCCCCATTACTTTGTTTTTCTTATAAAGGAATTTGTTTCACTAGTCTTTTCTCCCTTTCTTGGAGTTTTATGATAAATATAGTTATAAAACTTTAGTGCCATGAGTAAATTAACTTTAAGCTATATAACTCTGTGGAGCTCAGTCGGGCAGTGTTAACTCCATTTAATATCTGATCCTGAAAAAAACTAGTATGATATATTTCTGCCTTGTATAGGCTTTGTTGACCTTTAGTTATCATGTGGCTTTTTTATTTTTAAAATGCCTTTCCATTATGTTATAAAAATAATATATTCTTGGTGTAAATATGATAAACACTACAACTGTATTTCCACATCCACTCCTTTCCTTGGAAGTAACCACTGCTAATACTTCGTGTATAATTTTTCAAATATTTTTTCTATACAACTGTTAGTACTAGTTATACTTACATGTGTAAGTACTAGCATGTACTAGTATGTGTATGTGTGTCTATTAAATCAACACAGACTTTGTGACATTATTATTTGAAAATTTGGTTTATTCTTTGGTCAATACATTGTAACATTTTTATAACAGTACATGTAGATTGGCTTGATTTTTAACTTTCTAATTTTTATTTTTTAAATTATTGAAATATGTGAACGTTTCAGTTCATTTGATTTTTTTGGGCATTTTAAAAAATTGTGGCAAAATACACATAACATAAAATATATCATTTTAACTGTTTTTTATCCTACACTTCAGTGGCATTGAGTATATTCACAACTGTTGTACAGCCATAACCACTATCCATTTCCAGAATCTCTTCATCCTTCCAAACAGAAGCTCTATACCCATTAAACAGTAAGTCCCCATTTCCCTCACCCAGCTCATGGGAGCCTTTATTCTATTGTCTCCAATCTAGGTACCTCATATAAATGGAATCATACAACACATATCCTCTTGTCCTTCGTGCCTCGCTTATTTCACTTAGCGTGACTTTTTAAAATGTTCATCCATGTTATAGCATGTATTTGAATGTCATACCTTTTAATGGTTTCATTATTATTTATTTTTATTTTAATAAAAATATTCCATTGTATGTATATACCAATTTCATTTATCCATTCATCTATTGATGGACATTTGGGTTATTTCCTTCTTTGGCCTGTTGTGAATAATGCTATGCTGCTGTGATGAACATTGGTGTACAGCTATCTGTTTAAGTCCCTGCTTTCAGTTCTTTTAGTTATATACCCAGAAGTGGATTTGCTGGGTGATCTGGTAATTCTGTATAAGTTATTTAGAAATCACCAAACCATTTTCCACATTAGCTGATTTTAAAATTTAAAATAGTGATGTTCCTTTTTTCTTAAAGAATGAATATTTTAAATATATTCCAATTCCATTTTGTACCAGTTAAGAGGAGATAAAAAGTAGGAAAAGAAAGTTGGCAAGGAAGGGGACAGATAGTTATATAAAAGAAGAGGAACATTCAGAGATAGGAAGAGAGATATATACATTCAAAGATAGAGATAAAAGAGACTGAGAGAGAAAAAAAATCCAACAAACTTCTAATAATAGTAGTAACATTACTACTATTATTTTATTACTTACTTCAATGAAATAAAAAAGAAACCATTTTAAACCAGATTTAACCATGATTAGTTAGAATAGTAGGAATTATGGTTGGTTTGTTTCTTTTCCTGTCTTTTAGAGTTTCTGCAATGTGGATATATTACCTATATAATTAAATATTAGTAAATAAAAATACAATCGGACTGCATGTAATAGTTAAATATGTTAAAAAAAATTTATATAGAGAGCTGGTATCATTACTAAAAGAGATGCAAGTTCTTGAATATGTCAGTATCATTATTAAAACTTCTATTTCACTTTTATAATGACTATGATTTAAATTAATAATAATAATTTGTTTTTCTTAGCATCGTTACTCCATTAACAATGGATATGTATGCCTGGACTCGAGAACAAGCTGTATTATATGGTGGAATAATACTTGCTGCTCTTGGAGTTGAGGCAATTATTATTCTCATGGGGATTAAATTACTTTCTAAGAAGTAAGTTATGTGTCTTTGATTTTGTTTCAGTCAATTTTAAAATAGGCTCTTAAAAAAGTCTTTTTTAAAAAGTGAAACATGAAACTAACTCAACACCTCACATCACCTTCAGAATACCTACAAGGCTTCACACCTTTCTTACCTGATCTCCCATTGAAAGCTAACAATGTAAACAAATGTATTAGTAAAATAAAATAATAAAGGTTTTCTCTCATTATCTATAAGTTTCAGTCCTTGAATGTTTGCAAACAGATTTAAAGTTTATTGAGGGAGTATATATTACTAAACCTTTGGTAAAGTCATTGGTGAAGCAAGATATTTTACAAAGTGAATTGTCTTCTAATGTATCTTTTGCATATTATATTTTATTTAAAGTATTTCTAAAAGTGTATTTTATAAAACTTTGTTCTGCTGGATGGTAATATATGTTATGCAACAGAAAGGATTTAATGGTTAAGTCTGGAAAATTCTGCTTAAAATTACCAAACTTCTTTCCTCTAAAACTTTCAAATCTTCAGTACGTATATATAATATTATAATGACAAATATATTATGTAGCATAATATAGTTATTGTACAAAGTTATTTGTAACTTTGACCATAGAACATTGTTTTAAAGAAGTATTTTGTAAAACTGTAAGTATAAAGAACACACTTTGGGGGAAGTGCTTGTATAAAATTAAGTTCATTCATGTAGTCTGAGACGAGACATTAGTTGATAAATTTAGACAATTCTAACAATTTAATATTCTTACAATATTTTAATAATACTTTAGAATTTTATAATGTTCCAAAATCAATTAACAAATCTTGATTCGTTGTGTCGGGTTAGGTGCAATGGGGGATACTATGAATATTCCTATGCTTATAAAACCAAGTAGAAGGTTGAGATATAGATGTAGACATAGGCATAGATTTATATTCAAAATTAAATAATAGTAAATGAATTACCTCTTGCTATGGAAATAGAGCAGTCCTGCTGATAGGCATTCTTACAGATTTTCCACTCCATACCTTCAAAGAGTTTGTGTTCTATTGGGAAGGAAAACCAATAAAAAAAATATGAAGTCAAGTAATGGTAAGTACTGTGAAGAAGAATGGAGCAGAGGATGAGAATAGAGAGTAGCAAGGGCAGGATTGGAAGAGAGAGTGGCAGTGTTATTTTGACTGACTGCTCTACGAAGGCGTGTTTGAGGAAGTTACATCCAAGCAGTGACCTCAACAAAGTCAGAAAACAGTCATGCAGGGGCCTGGAACTCTCTTTCTCCAGAAGACTGAGCTTTGTGTGTTTAAGGAGCAAGCAGGAAGGCAAGTTTGGCCAGAGCAGGAAAGAAAAGACAATGGAAGAAGATCAGATCGGAATGATGTGAAGCCTTGTAGGTATTCTGAAGGTGATGGGAGGTGTTTGGGTTTATTTTGTTTTAGGGACTCTTTGGTCTTTTTTTTTTAACTAAAAAAATTTTATTTATTTCTGAGAGAGAGAGAGACAGCATGAGCAGGGTAGGGTCAGAGAGAGAGGGAGATACAGAATCTGAAACAGGCTCCAGGCTCTGAGCTGGCTGTCAGCACAGAGCCAGACGTGAGGCTCGAACCCACAAACCGTGAGATCATGACCTGAGTCGAAGTCGGACACTTAACCGACTGAGCCACCGAGGCGCCCCTGGTTGTGTTTGTTTATTTCATTTTTTACTATGGAAAATTTCTAACATATACAAAGATGTAGATAGGATCATGTACTAAATTTCTAATATCTATTACCCAGCTTCAATAATTATGAATCCTTGAATAATTGTGATTTATTTATACTTCTACTTACTCCACACTCCCTACCCCCATACATAAATTATTTTGAAGCCAATCCCAGATATCATTTCATATCTTCCATAAACATTTCAGTATGTATTTCTAAAAGCCAATGATGACAACATTATCACATCTAAAAATGTTAACAGTGATTTCTAAATATCCTCAAATATCCAGGCAGTATTCCAAGTTTTCTCCCCTATTTTAAATATTTTTAAAATTTATTTTGTTTTGTTTTATTTTGTTTCACAGCTTACTTGATTCAGGCTCTTGTGTTTCTTTTTTTTTTTTTTTAATTATTTTTTAATGTTTATTTTTATTTTTGAGAGAGAGAGAGACAGAGCATGAGTGGGGTAGGAGCAGAGAGAGAGGGAGACACAGAATCCAAAGCAGGCTCCAGGCTCTGAGCTGTCAGCACAGAGCCCAAAGCAGGGCTCAAACCCATGACCATGAGATCATGACCTGAGTTGAAGTCAGATGCTTAACCAACTGAGCCACCCAGGTGCCACAAGGCTCTTAAGTTTCTTAAGTCTCTTTATCTATAGGTTTTCCATCTCTCTCTTTTTTCCTTACAAATTGAAGAAATCAGGGTGTATGCTTTATAATTTCTCACATTTTGAGTCTTGCTAATTGAATTCCTATGGTACTGGTGGTGGTGGTGTTAACATTTTTCCATGTTTACTATATTTCTCAAATATCGGCACTTATATCTAGAAGTTTGATGAAATATAAGTTAAATTTTTTGACAAGAATATACTTTATAAGCGGTAATATGTACTTATATTGGGAGAAATGTTACATTTTGTTTATCTCTTTATAATGTTAGTGACCATTGATCATTTCTAGATCCATTAATATATTAATAGATAATTGAAAAATGTTGATATTTTCATTCAAAACTAACCAAGAGTATTTTATTTTCATATAATATTAATTCATAGATTTTAACATTTTTGCGTGTTTTAATCCATTGTTATTATTATTATTTCTGTTGTTCACACTGTTGCATTTTGGCCAAACGCCAAATTGGCCAGAGTACCTTTACTATTGGCTAAAAGTACCTAGTAGCCACTGATAGCTTCTGTGTTCTTTTCTATGAAAAAATATCCAGACTCATCTTACACATTTTCTGTCCCAGATCTGAAATCAACAGGTTCCTTTTAGTGAAAAATTATATTTAGCATTCATATTAATTGGTATATGACTAAAAGCATTAAAATATTATATCATAGTTTATAAAATATAAAAGTAATAAAACTATGTAATCATGTTTTCTTTTTTAATTACAGAGTTTCTGTTCTTTAACAGGATTGGTGAGCGTGCAATTCTACTGGGAGGACTCATCATTATATGGGTTGGCTTCTTTATCTTTTTACCTTGGGGAAATCAGTTTCCCAAAATACAGTGGGAAGGTATAGCCATACTTATTTCTATAATGTTACCCCCTGTTAATCCATCTAAAATTAACAAGTAATGTACTGTACTAATTTTGTTTTTACAGATTTACATAATAATTCAATCCCTAATATCACATTTGGGGAAATTATTATTACTCTTTGGAAGTCTTCAAGAGAAGATCACAATGAAGGACCCACTGGTTGCCCAATTGAACAAGCCTGGTGCTTCTACATCCCCATGATCCATCTGGCCCAGTTCCTCACAGCAGCTGTGCTAATCGGAGTAGGCTATCCATCCTGCAATGTTATGTCCTATACGTTGTATTCAAAAATTCTGGGACCAAAACCTCAGGTGAGCAAGTTATCCTGATATCGTAATCACATGAAGTATAATTGTAAGTACATTTTTTGTTACTATTCTTTATTTTTACACAAGGTGATTTGGTGGATTTTTATCATATTCAGCACTTTAAACTAAAAAAAAACCACAACTTTTGTAAAATAGTTTTAGGACTTAGTAAGCTGAGATTTAACAAAGAGGACTCTAACTTAGAGCTCAAAAGTGTTTTGAATTCAAGATTGTGAGCTCAAAATCCTTTTCAGAGAAAAAATATATCTGAAGCATAAATTTCTGAAACTCATTGTTAAACTAGGCAAAAGTTAGGAAACCAAAAATGATAGACAGTGTGGATCTAGGCTTAATTTCATATGGTTCTAGGGACAATTACTAAGAGAGGAAAACACAGCAGTCTTAAACATGTATAGCAGCTATGTATAATTTAAAATTAGTTTTTATTTTTTTTTTTTTACAAATAGTTTATTGTCAAATTAGTTTCCACATAAAACTCAGTGCTCATCTAAAATTAGTTTTTATTATAAGAATTTTCAGGGGCGCCTGGGTGGCTCAGGTCAAGTCGGTTAAACGTCCGACTTTGGCTCAGGTCATGATCTCACGGTTCATGGGTTTGAGCCCCGTGTTGGGCTCTGTGCTGACTGCCAGAGCCTGGAGCCTGTTTCAGATTCTGTGTCTCCCTCTCTCTCTGACCCTCCCCTGCTCACGCTGTCTCTTTCTCAGAAATAAATAAAACAATAAAACAAATTTAAATTAAAAAAAAGAATTTTCATATTCATTATATAAAAATTAGAAAAAATATAGAGTCCAAATGGAGAAAACTATCAGAGACAATATTTTGGTGAAATTATACTTTCAATGTTTTATCTATGTATGTGGGTGTTTAACACAAAATAGGATTACATCATTGTTACTTTTTAAAATTTTTTTTAATGTTTGTTTATTTTTGAGAGACTGTGAACAGGGGAAGAGGCAGAGAGAGGGAGACACAGAATTGGAGGCAGGCTTCAGGCTATGAGCTGTCAGCATGGAACCCAACATGGGGCTTGAACTCACAAGCTGTGAGAAAATGACCTGAGCTGAAGTTGGGCGCTTAACTGACTGAGCCACCCAGGCACCACATTACTATTTTATAATCTTCTTTAAAAAATGTATATAGCAATATATTGTAAATAATTGTCCCATGACATTTAGTTTTCTTTAACAGACATCATATTCCATTTTATGTGTGTACCATCATTTATTCATTTTCCAATTATAGTACATTTAGGTTATTTCCAGGGTTTACTTCTAACCCTTCTTTTTAGTAGAAGTTATTTAAATGGTCACAAAATGAAAATATTACTTTCCTCTTTAAAAATTACACTGTTGGGGCACCTGGGTGGCTCAGTCGGTTAAGCGACTGACTTCGGCTCAGGTCATGATTTGACGGTTTGTGGGTTTGAGCCCCGCATCAGGCTGTGTGCTGACAGCTCAGAGCCTGGACCATGCTTCAGATTCTGTGTCTCCCTCTCTCTCTGACCCTCCCCTGCTCATACGGTCTCTCTCTCTCTCAGAAATAAAGAAAACATTTAAAAAAATTAAAAATAATAAATAAATAAAAATTACACTGATAGGGGTGCCTGGGTGGCTCAGTCTAATTGTCTCTAACTTTGGCTCAGGTCATAATCTCTCTTTTTTTAAAAATTTTTTTTTAAGGTTTATTTTTGAGAGAGAGAGAAAGAGAGACAGAAGGCAAGCAGGGGAGGGGCAGAGAGAAAGGGAAACAATCTGTAGCAGGCTCCAGGCTCTGAGCTGTCAGCACAGAGCCCGAAGTGGGGCTCGAACTTGAGATCCAGGAGATCATGACCTGAGCCAAAGCCAGATGCTTAACCAACTGAGCCACACAGGCACCCTAGGTTGTAATCTCAAAGCTTGTGAGTTCGAGTCCCACGTCAGGCTCTGTAATGACAGCTTAGAGCATGGAGCCTCCTTCGAATTCTGTGTCTCTCTCTCTGACCCTCCCCTGCTTATGCTCTATGTCTCTTCTTCAAAAGCAAACAAACATTAAATCTTTTTTTTTTTTGAAAGACAAAAAAGAAAAAATAAAATAAAATTTTCACTGATAGTATTACATTTTCAGGGCAGAAATTAATATTTCTATTGAAATAAGGCAAAGAGATAAGAAAAATTTTAACACTGTGTTTTTAAGCTATAATAGTAGGTAAAACATTTTACTTTCTGAGTCGTTCAGTCCATAAAACTGTATTTTCAAAACAAAGAATAAAAGCACATAACAAAAGCAATGTGTGATAGTTGTAAAAAATTCAAATAGTTTGAAATGTGTATACTAGAAAACGAAGACTCCCCTTAGCTTCAACACACTAAAGTCAACCCCTGTTTATTTCATTTGTATGCCTCAAGACATTTTTCTATACCTATTCAAGCATATGTGGACTTGTTCCTTTTTTTTAACTGGAAGACATTTATTAGTGTGTAGTATTTAGTTATTTATAAATGAGTGTTAAATATCAGTGATAACAATTAGCTAAAATTATGAAAATGTTTTTTTATATTACACGTATTTAATTATTATTTTTTTCTTCCAAGTTTTTATTTAAATTCAAGTAGTTAACATATAGTATAGTGTTGATTTCAGAAGTAGAATTTAGTGATTCATCACTTACATATAACACCCAGGCTTATCACAGGTGCCCTCCTTAATGCCCATCTCCTATTAGCCTATCCCCACCCCCACAGCTGCCTCCCTCCAGCAACCCTGAGTTTGTTCTCTATAGTTAAGTCTCTTAATGGTTTATCTATCTCTCTGTTTTTATCTTATTTTATTTTTCTTTCCCTTCCCCAGTATTCATCTGTTTTGTTTCTTTTTTTTTTTAGTTTATTTATTCTAGAGAGAGGGTGGGGGAGGGGCATAGAGAGAGCAAGAGAGAGAATCCCAAGCAGACTTTGTGCTATCAGCATGGAGTCCATTGTGGAATTCAATCTTATGAACTGTGAGATCATGACAGTTGGATGCTTAACATACTAAGCCACCCAGGCGCCCCTCATCTGTTTTGTTTCTTAAATTCCACATATGAGTGAAATCATATGGTATTTGTCTTTCTCTAACTAACTTAAATCATTTCACATAATACATTCTAGTTCTATCCACATTGTTGCAAAAGGCAAGATTTCATTCTTTTTTGATGGGTGAGTAATATTCCATTTGTGTGTGTGTGTGTTTTTATATATATATACACATACACATATATACATACATACACATATATGTACATACATATACATATATATATATATATACACATATATATACCACATCTTCTTTATCCATTCATGAGTCAACAGATATTTGGGTTCTTTCCATAATTTGCCTATTGTTGATAGTGCTACATAAACATTGGGGTGCATCTGCTCCTTCAAATCAGCATTTTTGTATCCTTTCAATAAATACCTAGTAGTACAATTGCTGGGTTGTACATAGGGTAGTATTATTTTTAACTTTATGAGAACGTCCATATTGTTCTCCAAAGTGGCTAACCCAGTTTGCATTCCCACCAACAGTGTAAGGGTGAGAGGGATCCCCCTTTCTCCGCATCCTTGCCAACATCTGTTGTTACCTGAGTTGTTAATTTTAGCCTTTCTGGCACGTCTGAGGTGGTATCTCATTATGGTTTTGATGTGTGTTTCTCTGAGGATGAGTGATGTTGAGCATCTTTTCATGTGTCTCTTAGCCATTTGTACAACTTCTTTGGAGAAATGCTTGTTGATGTCTTTGCCTATTTTTTCACTGGATTATTTGTTTTTTGGGTATTGAGTTTAATAAGTTCTTTACAGATTTTGGATTCTAGTCCTTTTTCCAGTATGTCATTTGCAAATATCTTCTCCCATTCTGTTGGTTGTCTTTTAGTTTAGTTGATTGTTTCCTTCGCTGTGCAGAAGCTTTTTATCTTGATGAAGTCCCAAAAGTTCATTTTTGCTTTTGCTTCCCTTGCCTCTGGAGATGTGTCTAGTAAGAAGTTTCTATGGCCGATGTCAAAGAGATTGCTGCCTGTTTTCTCCTCTAGGATTTTGGTTGTTTCCTATCTCACATTTAGTTCTTTCATCCATTTTGAATTTATTTTTGTGTACGGCATAAGAATCTGGTCTAGTTTGCATTTTTCTGCATGTCACTATCCAGTTTTCTCAACACCATTTATTGAAGAGTCTGTCTTTTTTCCATTGGATATTCTTTCCTGCTTTGTCAAAGTTTAGTTGGCCACACATTTGTGGGTCCATATCTAGGTTCTCTATTCTTTTCCATTGATCTACATGTCTGTTTTTGTGCTAGTACCATATTGTGTTGATGATTACAGCTTTGTAATAGATACAACTTGAAGTCTGGAATTCTGATGCCTCCACTTTGCTTTTCTTTTTCATCATGACATTGGCTATTTGGGGTCTTTTCTAGTTTCATACAAATTTTACAATGCACTCATGCCTTTAAAAAAAAATTAAACAGTACATTCTATCTCATGTACATAATATATATATTTTTCGCATCTTGGAGTATTTTACTTAATAGCCATAATCTTCTTTCCATGTCAATGCATATAGATGTTCTCGTTATAAGATCTTACTCTATATAGGACCTTATTCTTTTAAGTAACTGATTAGCATTCCATTCATTAAATACATCATAATTTATTTACTTAATCCACCATTGATGGATGGTTAAGGTGTTTTCAATTTGGGGATATTAAAAGTACTGCTGAGCTGTACGTTCTTGGGTAGATTGTATGGGTTATAGTTTGGAGTACAGTTTCGGAAGAGTGACATTATGGTATAGTGGAAAGTGTTATAGTGGATTCAGCCAAACATGCCTTTAAATATGTTGGATAAGTTACTTGAATTTTCTAAGCTTCAGCTTCCACATTTGTTAAATGAGGATAATACCAATTGCAGAAATTTGTGTATATTGGAACAATATATGTAAAGCACCTAGCACAGTGTTTGGAATATAGTAAGTATAAAATAAATGTTAGCCATAAAGGGTAGATTAAAAAATTAAATTGTTCCCATAGCTTTAATAGACATTAGACATTGTTTATCTGTTTATACTACTTTTATTTTTCTTTTAAAAATTTTATTTAATTTTTAAAATTTATATCCAAGTTAGCATATAGTGCAATAGTGATTTCAAGGGTAGATTCCTTAATGTCCCTTACCCATTTAGCCCATCCTCCCTCCCATAACCCCTCCAGCAACCCTCTGTCTGTTCTCCATATTTAAGAGACTCTTAGGTTTTTGTCCCCCTCCATGTTTTTATATTGTTTTTGCTTCCCTTCCCTTATGTTCATATGTTTTATATCTTAAAGTCCTCATATGAGTGAAGTCATATATTTGTCTTTCTCTGATGAGTTTTGCTTAGCATGATACCCTCTAGTTCCATCCACGTGGTTGCAAATGGCAAGGTTTCATTCTTTTTGATTGCCGAGTAATATTCCATTGTACCTATATATACCACATTTTCTTTATCCATTTATCCATCGATGGACATTTGGGCTCTTTCCGTACTTTGGCTATTGTTGATAGTGCTGCTATAAACATTGGGGTGCATGTGTCCCTTTGAAACAACATACCTGTGTCCCTTGGACTTTTATTTTTCTTAAACTGACTAATCAAATAAGTATACTGTTCATTATTTGCTGTAATTATAGAGAGGAATTTTATACTTAATTTAAAATAAAAGATGGAGAAGGTGATTCTTGTAAGTTTGTCATAGTTTGGTAATAGTACTTTCATCCTTATTTTTAAAGTAATTAAACCTATAAATCTCAGTCTTATTCTCTCTCTCCACCACAGGGTGTGTACATGGGCTGGTTAACAGCTTCTGGAAGTGCAGCACGGATTCTTGGACCTGTGTTCATCACCCAAGTGTATACTTCCTGGGGTCCGCGATGGGCATTCAGCCTTGTCTGTGGAATAGTGGCACTTACCATAATGCTACTGGGTGTGGTTTACAAAAGACTTGTTGCTTTTTCTGTAAGGCATGGAAGGATTCAAGAGTAACCTAACTAACACTGTGATGGAAGGTACTTGTATGGGGCTTCTTCTTCCAGGACTCTGCAAGACCATTGCTATAAGTCAATTTCCAAAAGTCAGGCTACAAATATTGTGTATTTTGAATAACAAGAATATATATTGAATAATACAGGGAATTCTATGTATAAATATGAACAGTAATATATAAAAACACTCTGGTTCATAATTTCCATATTTCAAAAAGTATTCTTCATATAATAGCTCTTTAGCAGTTGCATGAACTCATGAGTGAATGGACAGTGGTTTATAAATATGAAGTTGTGCTCTTAATTCAAACTGCAGAGGTGTCATTAAAATAATGAGAAAATATTTATGTAGTGAAACGATAAGGAGAGTTCTGTATGAATTACTAAAAATGAAATTATAGAAATTATTTACCTAAATAGAGGTTCCTATGTTTGAAGATACCTACTTTTTATTTATTTAAAAAATGCAGCTTCTATTATCAAATTTCCTTATGCAACACAAATCATAAAATTTTCCATTTACCATGCCTGCCATCCTACCTTACCTTCTAGAAGTCATTATTTTTAATTCTATACCTTCTGACCTATTTTGGTTCCCTAAGTTAATAGGAAAGTACAAATAATGCTAATATTTGAGCAATAAAGATTAAGATATCAAGATGGATTTCATTACCTTTAGTAGGACTAATTGTTTTTTTCTTTCAAATACTAATAAATAATTCACTTCAGAATCATAAGCCAGATATATTACTTTATACATATACTGAGTAGCCAACTGTTTTTTAAAATACTGTCATTTTTCAGCTCCCTTAAATTCTGGAGAAAAACTATCACTTTAATTATTTAATTAAATTATTTAATTTATTTACTTTTCCCATCTCTCAGTGGTGGCAGGGAAGACATAGCAGTTTTCAAGCTATGTCTCTGTAACTATTCCAAACTGCAGAATTTTAAATTTGAATAGGCCATGACAGCCCTAATCTAGTTAGGCTAATAAATATTTGAGGTAAAATTGCTTTAATCTAACAGGTTACTGATTTTACTTGAAGTTGGCTAAATCATACTCTCTATGTGTACATTTCTACCTCTACATAAGTTGAATGCTGATAAAAAGAACTAATATAGAATTATGTATATGGATAATTAATAATTACCAAAATATGCAAAAATATTTCTAAATATTTTTCCAAATGTTTCCTACTCTAAGTTCTATTTTCAAATCTGAAAGTGAACAAGTAAGTAAACACTGTAATCTGCACTTTATACTATGTTTGTTGTATTCTTGTGGGTTTTTGTTTTGTTTGTTTTTTGGCTTGAACAACAGAAATTTATTTATTTATTTCTCACAGTTCTGGAGGCTAGAAGTCTAAGACCAAGATTGTCAGCAGTGTTAGTTTGTTCTGAGGTCACTCCTTGGCTTGCAAATGGATATCTTCTCCCTGGATCTTTTGTTTGTTTGTTTTTACAGCTTTATTGAGATATAATTAACATACAACATTGTGTAAGTTCAACGTGATTTGATAAACTTATATACAGCAAAATGATTACCACGATAGCATTAAGTAACACCTCCATCCTATCACATAATTATTATTATTTTTTTTTTTGTGGTGAGAACATTTAAGATCTACTCTCTTAGCAACTTTTAAGTGTATAATACAGTATTACTAATTGTCATCACCATGCTGTATAACAGATCCCCAGAACTTAGTCATCTTATAACAGGAAGTTTGTCTTCTGACCAGTGTCTCATTTCCTCTACCCCAGTGCCCCTGTCAACCTCCATCCTACTCTCTGCTTCTAATTTCTCCTTATTTCTCCATATTTCTAGTGGCTGAATAATATTCCAACACGTATATACATCTTTATTCATCCATTAATGGACATCTAGGTTGTTTCCATATCATGGAGTTTGTGAATAATGCTGCAGTGAACATGAGAGTGCACATATCTCTTTGAAATCCTGGCTTTGTCTCCTTTGGATATATACCCATAAGGGGGATTGCCACATTATATGGTGGTTGTTAATTTTTGAGAAACCTCCATTCTGTTTTCCACAGTAGCTGCACCAATTTACATTCTCACCAACAAGGCACAAGGGTTCCTTTTTCTCCACATTCTCACTTCTTATTTCTTGTCTTTTTGATAATAGCCATTCTAACTGGTGTGAGGTGATGACATCTTATTGTGGTTTTCACTTCCATTTCCCTGTGGATTAGTGATGTGGAGCATCCTTTCATGTACTTGTCTTCATGTACCATATGTATGCCCTTTGGAAAAACGTCCATTCAGATCCTCTGCCCATTAAAAAAAAATTTTTTTAAAGTTAGCTCTACACGCAATGTGGGGCTTGAACTCATGACCCTGAGATCAAGAATTACATGCTCTACTTACTGAGCCAGCCAGGTACCCCTCCTCTGCCCATTTTTAAATCACACTGTTTGGCATTTTTTGCTGTTGAAATTTGCTGTACTCTTAAATCCAACTTCTTCAGCCCTAGTAGAAAGCTTAATTTGACAGAAATCATCCCATGATTAAATTTTAGAGATTGTTTTTACTCTTTTCCACCTCTCATAGTGAGACTCTGCTTAAGTTAGACTTATCAGAGAGAGCCATAGCCAGGTTTCTGTCTATTTGGTCAAGTCCTGGGATCTCTCTTCTCTGATGTTCTGCAGCTCTTTCCTAAGTCTTACATTTTTTGGGTAACTTCTAATCTTAAAGAGTAAACTCCACCCTTGGTTTAGATAGTAATAACAACAATGGTAATGATGAAAATAATAGCAAACATTTATAGAGTTCTTTTCATATTGCAGGCAATGTGTAATGTATGTTTTCATAGCAGTCTTATAAAGTGAAGGTGCTGTTATGACCCCATTTTACAGATAAAGGAACTGAAGCGCAGAGAAAAGACTTGTCTAAGTAACAGTCTGTCTTCAGAGTCCACACAGTTAATTACCAAATTTTTTATATTATGGGAAATAGCCCAAAAAGTTTTAAGAACAGTTAATTAATTGCTTATTTTAGAGTAAATTAAGGTATGTATACCAATGACTCCTATTAGCAGAAATATTAGAGAAACATAATTTGAAGCCCACTGACTAGGGTCGTTATCCTAGCCTAATGGACTATTTCCATGCCAGAATATATGACAGAGAAGTTTCCCAATTTCCAAGGATTTATGATATTGAAGAAAATTCAGATAACTACAACCTTGCAGAAACAACTAACACCTTTCTTTTTATTAAGAATGCTTTCTTTTCTTGGGGATTATACCAACACACATCTTGGCTCAAAAGAAGATTAGGAAGTGACATGGGGTGGAGGAGAGGGCAGGGAGGTAAAGTTTGAGGAAAAAAATCACTAGCTAAAGTCATGAGTGGGACAAGTGGAGTACAAACTGCAAAGGATGATAGGAGACTATGCATTTCAGAAAAGATATGTTTTTGAAAACCTAAACTTAAGAAGAAAATGATTTATATATTTGAAGGGATTTATAGCTTCACAAAGCATCTCCATGTTACCTTTCTAAACTTGCCTCCACTTAAACTTCTCCAGTTATCTTGCATAAAGTGAAATAAACCCATATGTAATTTTTGTTTTGGGGAGGATAAACTGCTTAACTGCATCTGGTCAAGAATAGATTAATTTATTGTGAGAGGATATTTTGGGTACCATTTTTGACTACTGCAGACTTTTTTGTAATTTAATGTATTTTAACATTGTGAATATACATTTATAATAAACAATTATTATGTGTATGTACCTTAAGCCTTAAAATTATTTATTCATAATTTCAATGTGTATTCAAAGGGTACCTACTGTGTACCAATCACCATGTTATTGTTGGGAATAAAGCAGTGAACAACCCTCATGGAACTTCCATATTGGCAGGAACATTAGAAATTAATTAGTGAAGTGATTATGCTTAAGGGAAGGATTATGAGAGAGAGGCATAGGGGGCTGTGAGGGTGACTAATAGGGGATCTGACCTGAACAGGAAAGTCAGTGACTGTTTTGCTAAGGATGTAATGACTAAGGCCTGGTAGAGAGGATGGTTTGGACTGGTGAAGAGTGGGACAAGTGCATTTCAGGCTGAAGGTGGCAAGAGTCAAAAATCTGGGCTTTTACAGAACTACAAATAGGTCTAAGATGGCTAGAATATAGGGACTGAGAAAAAGCGTCCTATTAGGTGAGGGTATAGAGGCCCAATGCATCACCTTGTAGACTTCAGACAGTAGGGTGTCCTCCAGTAGTATGTAAGAGGTATTCTAACTTTAGGCATGGTTTGAGTTAAGAGTTCAAAGAATGTCATCAGGATTCTTTTTCTTTTAGTTCTACATGTCTCTGCTTGACTTTGCTTTCAGGTTCTCTCCATTTTGTGGCAAGATGGCCATTGGCAGCTCCAAGCTTGCAACATCTTTGTAACTCCAATTCCAGAGAAAAATGATTTGGGCAGAAGTATCAGAAAAGGCTCCAGGAGGGCAACAATCATCAATGAAGGCTAAAACAACTAGGTGAAAGAATAATGAGGAATTTTTTAAAGGATGAATGAGGCTGGCAACACCTAAACCTACGGATCAATCTTATTTTTTTTAATGTTTATTTTTGAGAGAGAGACAGAGAGAGGCAAAGAGTAAGGGGGACAGAGGATTCAAAGCAGGCTTGGCGTTGACAGCAGAGAGCTGGAGGTAGGGCTCAAACTCATAAACTGCAAGATCATGACCTGAGCCGAAGTCGAATGCTTAATTGACTGAGCCACCCAGGCACCCCCTGATCATCTTAACGTCACTGAAAGTGGGTAAGCATTATGTGCCTCATAACTGCATGCAGCAGGAAGTACATAGCACCACTTATAAAAGTGTTCCTGCCAAAAAATTAAACCAGAATCTAATTAAGCCAATAAACTACTAGTTTACAGGAAATACTGAGGAAAACAAGTTAAATGTCATCTCTAGGTAATCACCTAAACCCAGAAGGCTATATATTCTATAGACAAATGGTCCAGTTACAAAAATAAAAGAGAGAGAGAGAGAGAAAAAATAAAGGAGATCAGAAGTCAGAGATGAAAAAGAAACTTACAAGATATTTTTTGGATCCGGTCAAACAAACCAAATGTAAAAGGATGCTTTATGGCAATTGGAGAAATTTGAAACTAGACTGAATATTAGATGATATTAAGGAATTATTGCTAATTCTGAGATGTGTGGTAGTATTATGGTTATGCCTTTAAAAGGTATTATCTGTTAAAGATAGATACTGAAGAATTTGCTAGAAATTACATGATGTCTGGGATTTGCTTCAGAATACTTTAGTGAGGAATGGGCGTCAGGATGGATGAAACAAGACTGGCAAAATATTTGTTGAAGTTGGGTGGGAGATACATGGAGGTTCTTTATACACTTTACATGTGTACTTTTGCATTTTTAAATGCCCACATTTAATTTAAAGTTATGTTGTAGACTCTGGGTCTAAAGTTCTCTCTTGTCTTAGCAAGACAGCAAGACACATGATTAAAATAAGAGAGATGGCTAATGTCCGGGAAAAGACAAGAGCCCTGAATAAGGGTCCTCGCCCCGTATTTATTAAGATCAGAAGGCTTACAAATGTGATGGGTGTGCACAAAAAGACAATGAATCAGTGAACATCAACTCATGGGCATGAGGAAAAGGGGATTTTTGAAGATACAGTGTTTGGGGTTTGGGTTAATGTAAAACAAAGTCTTGGCACCAGGCGGATGGGCAAATGGTTGTTAACAGCAGACTGGAGGCGCTGTGTCTGTCTTAGGTAGCCTAGGGGATAAGACAGATATGGCAAAATACTACCTTTTCTTTTGTAAATCAGCTCTGCTCTGGGCAGCATCTCCGACAGCGCTGTCCAGAGGTCTGTAGCCCTCTTTACCTGCTTACCAAATTTGGTCCTTCCTTCCTGTGAAAACAGCTTTCTGTTATTTGCTTTCTGCTTTGCCCTGAATGCCTAATCTTGCTTACTTCATAAACCTTTTGCATTGGGTGCCTTTGCATCACTCTCTATTATGGGGCCTTTGCATCTCACTCTCTATTCTGGGGACTCTGCATCTTCTATTTTGGGGTGCCTTTGCATCTCCCTGTTCTGGGGTGCTAATCTTGTTTACCCAATCTCAGGGGGTGAGCATTCTATGTTTTTGTACTTCCTTATGCCTTCCTTGTTAACCCTTTGGTGTAAGCCCAGGGGATCCCTAAGCTTTTTCCCCACAAAGTTAGTAATAATCAGCTTTGTATTTTAGA